ACTTCTTTTGACGCCGTGTGACGAGTGGGGGGGGCGGGTTCAAAAATCTTCCAAAATCGCGTGACGTCATTTATGAACGGCCCCTTATATTGTGTCTAAAAGATACGGTCACGCTTAGACGCTTTACAAATCCAAACTTATATTTGTACCGTATTGTATATTTGCATTGTGTATTTGTCTTGTGTATTCGTGTTGTGTATTTTAATTTCGTACTAACATTGTGTATTGTGCACTGAATTGAATTGTGCGTTTGCGTTGTGTACACGAATTGTGAATTTGTATTATTTGCATCGTTTGCTGTATTTGCAGTGTATTTGTGTTGTGTATTATTTATGTCATGTCGCCTATGTTGAATAGTATATCTGTATTCTATATTGGCATTGTATGTTAGTAGTGCATATTTGTGTTGCTCTCTCTCTGCAGTGTGTTCCCATGTTTTACACTGCAGCGGTGGAAATGTTGGTGAAATAAATTCCGCTCATGATGAAGCTCTGCGAATTGATTCCTTGCCAAAGCTAGCCCACAATGTGTGCAACTTCGAGTCCCGGCCACGGCTAACATCAGTGGCGAGTGAATCCTCCCTCCTACCTCTTTCACCCACCAATCCGCACTCACCCAGCGTGGTGAAGTATGGTCAAACAACCCCCATTGACCGACATTCGTCAGTGGACTGGAATAGGTTTGACGGCTTCGGAAACAACCTGTACCGTTCCCGATACCCACTTCTATCGCGACGAGACTCAGCTCCCTTCCCTGGCTGCCTTCACATCCCCAAAACCGGCACAGCATCCATAGCCTAATCATTGCACACTCAGCGCCAGCAGAGCTGACATCAAAGAGATCCGCATGGAGCAAGCCTCGTATTGGCAAAATAAATCAATCCAATCTGTCATATTTCCTTCTGAACGAGTGTAAAACTACCCCTGCCCTATATATTCTAACGTGACCTATTTTCTCCACAGCTATTCATTACCAGTAACATGGCCTCCCTTGCTTAGCACGTGTGACAAGTGTGATCAGTGACTGGCTAGCGCAGTGGCTGTAGTTGTGCCCATCTGTACAAACTCTACAACAATGTTCGATTACAGCATCTAAATTACATCTGGAGTGGTGGCGCGCAGTGGTTAGCACACTTCACTGTGAACCCGGGGAGGCCTGAGGTCGATTCCAGGCCGAGACTATCATAAAGTGGCGAGTAATATCTGAACTGGTCCTGGGCACTATCACCAACCAGCCTGACCACTGTGGTGAAGTATGCTCATGTCTCTAATGGTGGAGGGGCCTCCACGAGAGGGAGCTTGAGAGAACCCCTCGGGAGGCTATTTAGCCGAAGATTTTACAAATTAAAAATGTGTCCCCCCCCCCCCAAATAGAATGTCTACTTCGGCCCCGCAATGAGCCAACATCACCGCTGAATCGAAAATATTTTCCAACATTTCCCACCCCCATTCCCGCCACATTCAAAAGTCATTGTACAAAGGCGCGGCCCTGCAATGCTTCGCTCACGCCGCTGCTGGCAGAAGGACGTCCACCAGAGGGGGCCCGAGAGAGCTCCCATCTAGTAGCTGCTTTGTCATACCCTTGGTCACTGGCCAGGCAACATGGAAGAGGTGTGAGTACCCACACTTTACCCCACCACGCGTAACCTGCTGATCGACGGGGGGGGGGGGGGGGGATTTAGGAAACCCGCTCCGTTGTTTCGACTTCCTCGCCGGGTGATGGAATTGAACTGGCAACCCACCGTTGCGCACCACTGTGGCAGCGTCCCATGAACGCCGGGGCTGTACGTGTGTAGTGTAATAGCGCCGGCTGGTGGACGGCAGCGGCGACTGTGGTGGACAGACAGCACACACGCCGGCGAGGGTGTGCGCGGCGTGTTGGCAGGGCGGAGGAACTAGGGCAAGGGTCACGGAGGATCCCATCTAGAGGCAACTGGAACCTGCCAGTGGGTTCGACAAGGAAGGCGCGGTCAGGGCGGAGCCAGGCCACGCTGGGAGCATAAAAGGAGTCGAGAGCTGCGGCTCGAGGCTGCCGGTTCTGGGAGTGGACTCGTCTCGTTGTCATCTCGTTGCCGTCGTCGCTAAACGTCTTCGCTAGATATTGCGCTGCCAGATTGTTGCTGGCTGTCTCAGTCAGCGCCGTCAGCGTTAGACGGTTAGTGTTGTGTACAGGCTAAGCGACTGTGGAGAGTGTCAAGACAGCGACCGTGAATGTTACCAAATAAAGAAGGTGCCTCCTACAAACCTCGTTTCCGAATCACTGACACTACACGTGTGTTGAATCCTGCCCCGTGTGTGCATTGATTTGGCTCCTGAGTCGTGAAGTCAGCGTGAATCGGCTGTGTGACCAGACACACAAAATAAACGACGTTAAAACATTTGAAAATCTTTTATTATTATTATTATTCCACACAGGTAACATCACACTGCAATGGCTATTTTGAATGCTATCCAGTCCATTTTTTTCCCTTAAAGAAGCAAAACGAAACCCACGTAAACCTTCTAGTTATGATTGCCCGCCCCACACACAAAAAAAATATCAGCAACAATATTAATATCAATAGCAACAATCGTGAGGTTGATGAACTATCCACCTGCGGATTTGCACAGCGTACGACTGTGTTTAATAGCACCATGGTCTGCGCCACTCTCCCGCGCCGTGCCCCACACAAGTAGTGGTGGGTCGGTGGTGGCCGCGGGGCATCGGCCAAAAGCCCTGGGGCGTCCCCAAAACAGCTGAGCGGGCCACAAACTCGTGAAACGAAGCATCGGTCAGTCACCCAAATATCTGCTCAAAATCCAAATGAACATGACAAGGTAATTAGCGTTAATGCGCTCATTGATGTATCTCGTCGCTATCATGCCCTAACGTCGTATTTTGTCTCTTGTCCTCTTCTCTGTCATTCCACTGCATCTCCGTCTCATCTGTATGCGTGTGTGTATGCTGAACATCTTTCACACCATACGTGGCCAACCGTGCGACTGTGATCGGAGGTGCAGCGGAAGGACAACAAACTAAACACATTCTATCTCTTGTTAATGTCTCTTCTGTTGTGGGCCCCATCCACCTCGTCCCAATTTTTTTTTCAAAATTCCGCTTCGGGCACCCAGCGGTAGTTAACTGGGGGCCTGCGAAGTCATCGCTGTTACTTGACCAGTGTGTCGCACGTGCCACTGGGAAACAACCACTGCGCTGGTGTCCTGCACCTCCAGAATGTGGAGGGGAGTGGGGGGATGGGTTGGTGACCCACGACGTGGGGAAAACGGATGGGAGACTGGGGGAAAATCTCTCCGGTACGACGATTTTCAGAAAAGTGATCCCGCCGTGTGCCTCGAGCCTCTATCGATACAGAAAAAAGTAACAACGCGCGGAAGAGAGTTTGTACCGACCCAAGTAAGTGTTGGCACTGCGCGGGGCCCATTTATCATAACAACGCAGCGATGTAACTATGTACCGCGTGGCAATAGCTTATTTTAATTGGGTCTGTGTTTTGTGTGCTCACTTCGCCGCGGCGATCAAAGCGATTAAATCCGAGTAGAACAGACCGAACGTTCAAGTGTGTTTTCTTTCAAAAGCCGTGTCGAAATTTAGTGCATTTTTGTTTTTAAAACAGCTGCTGAAGGTATAATTGTGTTGTACAGTATTTGTTATGAACCTAAAAACGTCTGTTTTTAGCACTTAAAATGAGCCATTAAATAGAGCCTTGTGAAGCAAAAATAAAATACACATGTTGATAGATATTCATTTCAGTAATGCGATAAACTCTAAATCTGTAACTATAGCTCGTTATTTATTTCCATAATAACATCTTAACCGTCCGTAGGAGTCCTAATTACAAAAGCAAACGGACAAGATAAATTATAATATAACATAGGTGATGTCTTCGTAGTGAATGGCTTAGACCTTTATATACACAAGGCTTGACACGTTTGCATGCCATAATGATCATATTCCCAACGTTACAAATTAGGTCGGAGACAATTCGCTCTAGGTGTCGGAGTAGGGGAAGCCAGATGCTGCCGAGTGACTGACTATAATGTAGCTCGCGCTTTAATCATATCGCCAGCGTCCGGCGCAAATCATGCCCCTGCACGTAATTAAATGTATGCAGGGCAGTCGCATGCCAGAATGACCTCTGTCATTGACAACAGCTCCACAATCTTGACTTAAAGCTTTCGTGACTGCAGGAATTCATTTTCTTTGGGTCTTCCGGTAAAATTACACAGATAAGTTCAAAGAAAAGACCAAAAAAACTACCTAGTGGTTGCAGCTCTGGAGTTTGCAGCTCTGCGATCTCCCATTAACACGCGTATCTCTCACATTAACATAGCCACCTCAGCGTGCTCACCGTGGAGGCCGCTCACCGATCTTACATTAACATGCAAATTTTTACCTGCCAGCCCTTTGATTGGTGGAAAACCAACCACCGTCGTGGTCGACTGCCAACCACCTACATTAACATTAGCTGCCCCGCCCATGCTGCTGACATTTGGGCTACGCCCATTTCAAACCTTTATAAACAGTTTGCTTTTAAAAGCTCACCCCCTTTTCCTGATGACGACCGCTTGTGTTGCGATCGAAACGTCAGTTTTTTTTGTTATTTTATTTGAACTATATCTACGTGACTTTACCGAAAGACCCCAAAGAACAGCTCCACAATCAGACATGGCGTGGATGTTGGTTGCCAGTAGCCAAATGGTCACTTGACGCCCACGTGGTTTTGAGGTGCAAGTGTGTGTGTGTGCGTGCATGCGTGTGTGTGTGTGTACGCACATGTGTGTACGTTTGTGTGTGAGTTGGGGAGTGTGGGGAACGGTAGTGTAGCTGTTAGCGCGCTGCGCTACGAACCTGGCGACCCGGGTTCGATTCCCGCTCACGGCCAACGACCAGTGACGATTATCTGAACCGGTCCTGGATCTCCCCAAGGTCGACTCAGGCTCAAATGAGCACCTGGTGCGATGTGTGACCATCGTCGCCAGGGCGACAAAGGCGACCGGGCGTGGGTGGTGTTGGCCACCCACCCCCTCGTGTGCGGTGCCAGCCTTTATAGATGCTCGCGAACAGCACTTGCCTCAACAGTATGTTAAGGCTATACGGGGGATCTTTATCTCTGTTTTTTCAGGTGGCGCAGCGTCGAGTGAGCGCATTGCGCTACGAATCCGATTCCCACTCACAGCCAAGATCGCTGACAATATCTGCACCGGTCATGGGCCTCCCCTAGGTCGACTCAGCCTTAATTGACTACCTAACAAGTTGTGTGTGTATACAACGACATACGGTCGGGCGTGAGACTGGCTACACCTCCCCTCATGTAATGTCAGCCTTAATAGGTGCCCACAAATAGCACTTGCCCCAACAATCTGAACGGGAATGAGTTATAGAGGGGATGAGTGTGAGTGTGTGTGTGTCTGCGTGCGTGCAGACGAGTGGTGAGTGGCACACGACCTCACGTCGTCTCTCACAAGACCAGCGGTTACCTGGAGGGTTTCCAAACACATCGCTGATCTTTTATTTTTTACGACTCGCTTCGTTTTATATATAAAGTCTGTTTTTTTTTTACCCAGGAGCCACGTGACCATGCGCGGAGTCGTGCGTTCCGTGGTGTGTCGGGGGGGGAAGGGGGGGGTGCACCGGTCTGTCAGTTACTCTGCGAGGTTCACGCCGACTTCTAGGACTCGCGTGATGACCCAGATGAGCTCACCAAGCGATCCAACACGTGTTTAGTAAACAATTCCAGACAACGGGCGCTCGGGCAACGGCGGCGGTGTAGATTTCTTTTTTTTTTACTTGGCGTGCAGTTATATAACTCCTCGTGCGCTACAGCTCCACCACGAGCACCTCGATGGGAGGGGGGGGGAAAGAACGACTCTCCGAACGGGCTTTTTTGGGCTTGTGCCGCGCGTTGCTCGGGGCACGGTGTGAGACGTTCTGCTCCGCCGGCTTCTTCAGGAACTCAACGAAACTGGAAGAGGCTCCCGGAGCACTGTAAGCGAAACGTCGGGCACCGTGCCGAACAGCGCGCGGTACGATCCCGACAACCCACCCGAAGGGCCAGACAGCACGAGCGTGAGAACGCATACGCAAGTGCCACGTAACGAAAGTAGGAATTTTGAAAACGTTACAAAAAACACTCGTGCATGAGATCGCTTTGCGGGTCTACGTGGAGCATTGCTTCACCACTGCTGCTGGGGCTGCTCGTTTCCTGCTCAGTGTAAGTGTGTGTTGGGGGGCGGCGGTGGGGATGGGGGGGGGAGGTGTTTCTAGAAGTTGCCCGGGACTGGAACGCCGCACTCGTACCACCCGACGTAATACCTCCCGGCGCCGATCTGCCCAAACTCCACGGGCTGCTGCCTGTACCTCCTGTAGTAACCTGCGGCGAGGATGAGCGCAACGGAGAGAGAAAGAGAGAGAGGGAGAGTCAACGAATCGCACGACTTGGAACAATAAATCCGGCCGTCCTCAACCCGTGGCTCACAAACCTGAAGAGCTTTCGGTAGGGCAGGGATACCGTGCGGGAGAAATTTCAAAATGAGCACGGGGAACATCGTCACCACATCGCGGCGACAAGACACACTCGGTACGCAACATGGTAACCAATGCCTCGCTTAGACCGCGTTGGCCAGAGGTGTGGCTGTGTGGCGTCTTTGTATTGTGGCCGTAGTAACCCAGTGAGGGGGTAAGGCCCAGGTGGAAGGGGTACTGGTCGTGGGGACCAGTGGTCTTGATTAGGGAGGCCGTCATACAAAAAACGTTTGAGAACCACGGCCTTAAGAAATTATCTTGGGCGCCACGCTGACGAGATGTTAACTACCTCACCTGGTATACAGGAGGTCGTAGGATTTATCCTGACCCTGACGCCTGTTGTATATCTGGAGTTTGCATATCTCTCTCACCGTGGTCGTGTGGAATTTTCTCCGGGGTCTCCGGTTTTTGCCTCCACATTTTTAAAAAACGTGCGTTTAGAGTATTTGGCTGCTATACATTTCCACAAGAAAAGCCACTTCGTTCGACTATCATTTGTGGCCAGGTTGCATATGAAAAAGCTATACAGTATAGCTCAGGGTGCCTTACTTGGTAAAATAAAAAAATAAAATTTTAGTTTTCATAGTTTCGTTTCTTGGACACAACCAATCTCATCAGCTGTGATGGAGATCCATCGTTTATTAAGTTGACCATGAATGTGGCCTATTTTCGTGCAGGGCCCCAGGGGACAGGAGGCCTCGAGATAGCGCCGAGGAATGTGGCAACGGGGTCCAACTCACGGATATGGGACGCAGAGAACAGAGAGAGAGAGAGGGAGAGAGGGAGCTTAAACTTGGCCTGCCTCACAGATGAATGAGTGCACGCTGCCGCCTTCCTATTGTAGAAAATCAGCCACAAGAATCATTGAATCAAGCATCATTGAAGTAAGAATCATTGAAGAATCATTGAAGTAAAAAAAATATACATAAAAAATTAAATGTAAAATATATATTTTTAAGTAAAAATAAAAAAACAAATATTCATTGAAGTAAACATAATCCAAAATGATCAGTACAAGAAAAAAGACAAGCACGTTTAATGACTCGCCAACTGAAAAATAATCACCGACATACAGACGCGCGCGCGCATGTTCGTAGTACACTTGCACGTAATCTTTTTTTTTTACGCAGCGGCGCACGAAAAGTCAATAAAAAAAATAACGTGACGATCGTTTCCAACGGGCCCGCAACGTAGCCCGACTGTTTTACAGTCTTGTCGCGCCCTCTGTATCCGAGTGTTTATTGTTGTTGATGCTGCATTGGGACTGTTAGCTGTAGGTTTTTTACGGCCGATGTAAATCTCAATCGAGGTAACGGCGTTATTCTCTCCAGCCTCACTCCCTTCTTCCCCGCCCTTCCGCGGCCAACCCAACGAGTGCAAAACAAAAACCAGGGAGATTTTTTTTAAAGGAAGGAGCGAGAGGGAGGGAAGAGAGAGACAGAAGGATGGCGGTGGGGGATCTGCATGCGAACATATGGCGGAGATTCGGGCATAAATCTGGTGAGCGCGACACGAATTCTTCGCGTCCGGGCATCAAAGGGGTCGCACGGAAGGTTCTGCAATGTAGATAACATCGAGCGGCCGTCCGTCAATGCGCATTGGCCCAGGGCGCCGCGGGCATGGTGGACGAACAACGGGGGGTGGCCGTGAATTCCCACGGAGCAAACGATTCCCTGCGTTGCGCGAAAAACACAATTGCAAAGGTTGTGTTTTTTTAATTTCGCGGATAAATATTCGCGTGCGCGTGTAAGGCCAGCGTGATTTGTTGCATCTTAAAATTAGCCCGCGGGCAGTCCTACCAAAAATTATGCGCATATACGTATTCTTAATATCGGCGTTAATCGCTGCGAGGACTGTCGTGGGGCAAAAACAATATTTGTGGTTGCAGAAGTGAAGGAAAAAGGAGGTGCTGTAAATTACTCGCAGAGAGCTTCGTGAATTTGCTCCCGAGCTGTTTCGCGACCGACAGCCGCGGTCCCAACTTTATTTGTTTCAGTCTCCGCATGGGAACGGCTGCCCTTACGAACCGAGAGTTTTATTGTTCCTGTGTCAAACAATTAACCCTCGACATCCTGCACTTATAAATAAGCACCGGCACTTTGCCAGCCGAAGAATCCTTTCGGGACTCCACAAAATAAGTGTGTCGTAAAATAAAATGAAGCGTTCATATTTGTCATCTGTAATGATTGTAAAGATGATGATGATGTTGGTTGATGTTGGTGATGATAAAAAGGTAAAGTCAAAAGGTCATCACAAACAATGCTACAAGTGCCGTTGACTTTAGAACAATGTGCATACGTGTGTGCGTGCAAATGTTGATGTGCGTATGTACCTGTGTACATGCATACTGTAAGTGTGTGTGTCTGTACATCTTTGGGGAGCGGTTAGCGTGCTACCTGAGTTGCATTGCCGCTCACGAGCAACGGTTATCTGAACAGGTCCTGGGCCTCCCCTACGTCGACTCAGCCTCAAATGAGTACCTGGTATGGTGTGTAAGCATCGCTACTGGGGAGACAAAAAACAGTCGGACGTAGTGCTGGCCTCCTACCCCCTCGTGTAGCATTCTGTCCTTGAGGGGAGCTCACTGATAGCACTTGCACCACCGGTGTGCTAAACGCTATGTGAGTGGCCTTTGTATATTTTTGTGATAATTGCCTACCTATATCGGAGTGTCTGTACATGTGCGTACGTGTGTGAGTCCATATGTGTGTACGTATGTGTACTCATGCATGTGTATTCGTGTGTGTGTATGTACAGTATGTATGTACGTATGTATGTACGTACGTGCATGTATGTGCATGTATGTACGTACGTGCATACATATGTTGATGCGTTCACACACATGGCTGTGCGTGTGTCTGTGCCCTAGATTGATACAGCCTTAAATGGGAACATGAAGGCGGCCGGGCGTGGTGTTAGCCACACCACAACCTCGTGTGTGCCATGTTGGTCTTTCATAGATGCTCCCTAACAGAAGTTGCTCCAACAGTCTGCTCAGGCTACACGGGGGAACTTTGTCTTTGCTGTGGACATGTGCACACACACACACACACACGTGCACACGTGTGTACGCGCGTCTGCGCGCGCAGTGTCCCGTACCGGGTATGATGGACAGCGTATCGGCTGGGGGACGCGGCCCAGTCTTGCCCTCCAGATACGAATCCACGAACTGGCAGTGGTCCTCCCCTTTTCCATCCTCATCTCCGATCCCGTAGTACATTCCTGGACAGGCACAGCACTGGCTGAGTGGGTCCCTGGCCAACAAACGTCAGTGCACGGGACTTTCCATTGCGGAGGTCAGGGGCAGTCCATAAATGACGTCACGCGATTTGGGACGATTTTTGATTCCCCCCCCCCCTCCCCTCCCTTCGTCACACGGCGTCACAAAAAGTCAGACCCCCCCTCAAATATGACGTCACAGAGCTCTGCCCCCCCCCCCCCCCCAAAAAAAATATATGCTTCAAATCGCTTTAAACTATTGTCATTGTAGTGCGTATTTAATCTGGCGCTGCACTCTGATGTTGTAGGAGAAAACATTTATTAAAAAGTCTATTTAATTAAGTAGAACGTGTTGTCTATATTTATTTAAAGTTGCGCATTTTGATGTGACGTCACATCTCACCCCCCCCCCCTCGTCACACATCGTCACAAATGTCTGACCCCCCCCCCCAGGTGCGTGACGTCATTTATGGACGGCCCCTCATTAGCTTCGGTTTATTTCTCCCGGCGCGCAGACGAAACAATGGCGCGAGAATCCTGAACCCCTCTGCCCGGCCAGCGGTATGAATGGGTACGCCCCAGTCAGCTGTCCGGCAGGTCGCTTTGGTTGGTGCAGCGAAGTGTGGTTACTGCCATCTTCCACGACATCCGCCCGGCGTGGAAGAGTAGGCCAAAGTAACCCTCTACACAGCGGCTCTCTCTCTCGAGTGTGTGTCGGTTGGTGAAGGAGGAAGGGCCAGGACTGGCTCAGACATCACTGTTCCACCGCGCCTCCAATCACGACGGTTGGCTACGTAGGGTGATAAAGAAGTTCAACCATACACGCACATTCATGCACTCGCCACGGATTACAGTGGCTCTCGGGAGATCTCTCTCTCTCTAGCAGCAGTGGCATGAAACTAAAAACAATTTTTTTTTATTTTACCAGGTAAGGCTCACTGAGCTATACAGCTCTTTTTCAGATGCGGCCTGGCCACAAATGATAGCTCCATGAAGCGGCTCATCGCGCGGAACATTTATAAGCCGCCAAATTCTCCAAACGCACGCGGTTTCCAAATGTGGAGGGAAAAACTCGGAGGACCCGGGTAAAAAAAATCCACGCGACCACGGGGGAGAGAGACACAGCAAACTCTGAATATACAGCAGCAGGCGTCAGGGTCGGGATCGAAACCCGCGACCTCCTGCATACCAGGCGAGGTAGTTAACATCTCGCCACCGTGGCATGAGGAAGCAACTTCAGGCGAAACAGTGCCTACCGGTGAGCGAGTCGCTCAGGAAGATTTTGTAGCGCAGGGAATTGCAGAGGATGACGCCAACGAACTTTCTGTAGCGCGTGCGCTTGACGTACTGGCGGCCTTTGCACTCCGTGTCGATCGCGTGGTAGCGGAACGAGAAGGGGACCCAGATGGGCTCCCCACCTTCGCGCGGAAAAAGGAAACAAAGGCAAAGATCCCCCGCATAGCCTTCAACAGATCGTCGGGGCCAAGTGCCGTTGGCGAGCACCTATTAAGGCTGGCACGTGCACACGTGGTTGGTGAGTGGTCAGCACCACGCCTGGCTGCCCCTTGCCTCGCCATTGATGATATTTACACACCAAACCATTTCAAGCTGAATGGACATAGGCACACACAAAGGCAAAGACCCCCCGTTTAGCCTGCGCAGACTGTTGGGGCAAGTGCTGTTAGCGAGAACCTATAAAGGCCGGCACAGCACACAAGGGGGTGGGTGGCCAACACCATGATGCTTACACACCGCACCAGGTACTAATTTGAGGCTGAGTCGACCTAAGGGAGGCCAAGCACCGGTTCAAATAATCGTGAGCGGGAATCGTACTCGGCCCGCCGGGTTCGTAGCGCAGCGCACTAACTACCACACTACCGCTCACACGCATGCATACGCGTGTATATGCACACATGAACAAGCATGCGTTTGAGCAGCAATTTCCAACCATTTTTCTGCTCGTGGACTATTTGACGATGGTGTGTCGTCTTTAATAACCGCGCAGATTAATGTTTTGGTATTATTGGTCCAGTAAAAAGGAATAACTCGATTGAAAATCAACAAGAACATAATCACCTGTTGATATTGGGTGGGTTCACGTGTTTATTTTAACATACATAAGCACAGAGGCGGCACTTTGTGGCAGAGGTGACCTACGACCTCTACACACAAAGAGGCAATTGAAACCATACTTGTGTATGCCTGCAGAGGCTCAGAAATATATATATTTTTCATATCAAATTGGTAGGGGAGTTGGAGCAATGTCACGAGTTGATACGTTTATATATGCAGCGCCGTTTCCGTGTGTGTGTGTAGTGCAGTGGTTAGCGCGCTGCGCTACAAACCCAGTGACACGAATTCGATTCCCGCTTACGGCTAACAACCAGTGATTATTATCTGAATCAGTCCTGGGCCTCGCCTACGTCGACTCAGCCTCAAATCAGTACCTGGTGGCGGTGTGCAAACATCGCCACAGGGGAGACAAAGGCGGCCGGGCGTGGTGTTGGCCACCCACCCCCTCGTGTGCCATGCCGGCCTTCATAGTTGCTCGCTAAACAGCACTTGCCCCAAAGGTCTATCCGGGCTACAAGGGGGGATCTTCGTGGTTGTATTCAAAATTGGATTTTTTACACTCGGGTCTGAAATCAAATTCCATTGCCTGCGTGCGAGGTGCGCCCGAGAAGCGGGTGCACCTCGGAGTGCGACTTGTGGGAGGTCTGTATTTGACTGTGGGCTTCACTTGCTTGTGTAGGTGAACAATGACAAAGACAAAGCCAAAGATCCCCCGTATAGCCTTAACAGATTGTTGGGGCAAGTGCTGTTGGCGAGCACCTATGAAGGCCGGCACGGCACACGAGGGGGTGGGTGGCCAACACCACGCCCGGCCGCCTTTGTCTCCCCAGTGGCGATGTTGACACATCGCACCAGGTACTCATTTGAGGCTGAGTCGACCTAGGAGAGGCCCAAGACCAGTTTAGATAATCGTCACCGGTGTTGGCCGCGAGCGTGAATCGGCCTCGGGTCGCCGGGTTCGTAGTGCAGTGCAGCGCTGACCACTACACTACCGCTCCCCACACACACACACACGCGGTGTACTAACTGCACTCTGCTTGGCGCATGCACCACTTAAGTGAAGTGTCAATGCAAATAAAATAAATCGAATACAGCAATAGATATTCCAATAAATGCCTGTGCCCGGCCGATGATGTGCACGTTGATTTGATAGTTGTCAGGATTCTATACGGCCAGATAGATTGCTTATGACAGTCCATTGCCACAGAGGGTGAGAATACTCTATCAGAATAGCGAGTATTGCCCTAGATCTGTTATAAATTAACATTTATAATAATTCACAGTCAATCCACGGCTGAAAGAATGTCTTAATATGCCACGTCAGTCACGGGAGTTGTTTGGCCATACTTCACCACACGGGTCAGCATGATTTAGTGAAGGGAGATTTCCAGGACTGGGTCAGATATTACTCGTTACTGATGTTATCCGTGGCCGGGAATTGAACTCGGGGTAACCAGCATCCCGAAGTGCAGTGCGCTAGCCACAGCACCACCACTCCACCTTTCATCATATATAAAACCGTATCAGTGTGGCGAGACATTCATCCAGCAGTGGATTGACAAAGGGCTGCAAGTAAAAACAATAATAATCTTAACCTCAATGGAGTGTCACCTTGAGCTTAAAAAAAACACCTAAACATCGTTCTTGCTTCCTCCAAAAAAATATTAATAAATCACTGCATCGTGTTTTGATGTCCCCCCCACCCCCCCCGGCGCTGTTTCGCCATTGGCAGTTTGGCGTTGCGGAGAAAACGGAGTGGCGTGGCGCATGAAGAGCTGAGCTCACAGAGCAGGGGAATGCATCCTGAGCGACAGTCCCATTACCGTTCCTATTGCACACACTACCCCAGCTGTCACAGTTGAGGCACGAGGTCCAGCCGCAACATCCTAGCAGCGTCACACGAACGAAGACATCCAACGCCCGTTGTTTGCAACGCCGCTGGGGGCGGGTGCTGTTAGCGAGCGCCTATTCGGGACACGGCACGATACGCAAGGGCGGCGGTGAGGCCAAATGGGCCGCACCGCCTTTGTCTCCCCTGTGCTGATGCTCAGACGCATATTTATGGCCGAATCAACCTTTCAGGAGGCCCAGGACTCGTTTAGATGTTCGTCGGTGGGTGTCGGCTGTGAGCGGGTATTCGAACTCAGACCCACGGGGCTCATAAAGCGGCGGTGCTTAGCGCTAAGCGCTAATCACAAGCGCTCACTAAATACACAGAGCGTACCATCCTAAACACGCATTCGTCTAATTCGACCCAGAATCTACACACACACACACGCGGGCCCAAGCGCGTTTAAATGTCACTCGTGGCCAGAAGAAATGATTCCTTTCAACCGTAAAAAAAACTGAAAACCGCTTTATTATTATTTTTATATAAATACTCTGTATAAGTAGTAGATACGGATGCTAGCACACCATCAACCAAGTTCATCCACTGAAACGTCCCTCCCCACTATAACACGCGCGATAAATCGTTTAATCCTAAAAATGCATGCCCTTTCACAAAAGAAGCTTTCTTTACTGAGAAACATTGGCAGGGTTTTTTCATTATCTCCCAGGGGGATGTGCATTCGCCTATCTTTGAAATGTTGAGCTCATTTTTATTCTTAGGAGGTGAGGGCAGGGCGGCGGTGGGAGCGGGAGTGAAATTACCATTTTTAAATCATCGAAAGCCACTGGCAGACGAGCGGACTTTGAAAAAGAACAAATGCCCCAAAGTTTCTTGTTGTCATGCGGCAACCGAGGTCTCGGGACAACAACAACAACAAAAAAACAACGGCTGACTGAATAATAAAAATCACCGTGCTCAATGTGCGCCCAATGCCTCGTTCAATACGTCGCAAAAACGCGAGGCTCGGCTTGATGCCTCTCCTGGCGCACTGCCTCAATGCCCTGGCCTATTTCGAGTTTCAGGGTTTAGGACAGCACATCGTGGGTTTCCTGAGGAAGTAAGGTCGAGTGAAAATTTGCTACCCAAAAGCTTTGCCCCTGATTGAGACGCAACAGAGATTAATTCGACGCCCTGGTTTTTAATTTTCATGTGCAATATTCACTGGTTTCCAAATGCTAAATCATTCATAATGTTTAATAACAATGCAAATGTTTTAATCAGGGAACTCTCAAAGAGTCTCAAGACATTTCTTTCAGGAGGGTTCTACAACATGCAGATGGTTGGCTAATCCCATTAATGGGTGTCTGACTTTGTACGGGAAGAAACCGGATTACCCAGATATAAACCACACATCATGGGGAATAAACACTTAAATCTCCACGCATATAGATTACAGAATTCATTTGGGTTTTGCCATCTCTGCGCCATGTCGTAGCCCAAAAGCCTACAGGTCCTAATCCCAGGCAATCTCCTATCCAAGTACAAACCAGGCTTAAACCTGCTAAGCTACTAAGATCTCACAAGATCGAGTGCATTCAGGGTGATAAGAGTCCCTTCTATATAAGACTTTTGTAAAAATGCTGAAGACGATGCATTAAGTCAGCGACAATATTAGGCATGGAGCAAAATCTACAATTGTACCGTACTATACTGCGTTGTTTATGCTCCCAATCTTCACCAACCGCACTGACCTGCGTAGTGGATTTTGGTAAAATATTCCTCCATGACCCGCATGATTTTGGAAATTGACAAAAGATCGTGTACATGTATTTAGTTCATAACGGCAATGCCAAAGTCTAATAAGAGGGTACATTTTCGTTTGGGTCACCTATTGTTTTATAGTAATGACAAGCTCTACTCAATGGGAGGTCGCACCTTCTCTGCTGCTGCATCCACGTCTGAAACCCTATCCCCCACTCAGCGGTCCATGCTGCTGACTCCCCGCCCCTGTTAAAGTCCAGGCTCAAGAACTGCCTCTCCTCCTCTGCCTGTGACTGACAACTTACTTTTAAACATATATACGTAAATACATGCCATATGCATGTCTCATCGTTTTTGTACACCATCTGGAGATGCGGGGTTGCATTTAGACACTGGCTATGATAACCAAAAAAAACTGCGAATTCTATCGTAAAGCCAATATATGTGTTTTGATAGCGACATTGAAATGGTAACTTACCAGGTGCCCGCACCACAAGAAGGGGATTTTCTGAAAATACAAAAAACAAAACCATATACATGCGGCAATGCAACACAGATGAAGAGCATCTCTTGCCAATTGGGACATCTAAATTGGGAAAATTGAAATGCAAGAAATATGCACGTACTATGTGGCGCAAATATGCAACAGATTAAGACAGAAAAAAGAAAGAAAACAAGGACATTCAGCCAATATTTGCCCCGAGACATCAACATGGAATACGCTACGCAAATATTAAACAGCACCTGGCTGACTTTTCAATAAAAAAAAATAATAACCTGGCACTTGGCCACGTAAGTAGGCTTTACGCTGCCGCTCGTAATCCCAGTCCTGTTTTCTGAGTTGGGATGTTTGGTCAATGTCCGTTACACTGTTATGATTCGTTAGCTAAAGGAGGGATTTGATGAAACTGCAGGAAAAAAAAAACTATGGCAGGGCAAGGCGGTGAACGTGGACACTGCACACAGAAAGGCGGCCCGAATCAGGAATTGAACGCAGGCACATTTTGCTGTGAGGCACGAGTCATGCAGCTTCACCGGGGGGCCACTGGCCTCACTGGCCTGAGGGGGGGGGGACCCAATCCCCAGGCTACCAAGAGATGGGGAAGTTGGACGAACGCCAACTGTGCTGCTCCACTGATCATTACACCTCTACCGTGCTCCGAACGTTCGAGACCGTGCGGCTATAGCCACCATGCTTTTGGCTGACACTACAAACACTGGCATGTAAAACGACGGGCCATCATCTGTGCTCGGGGTGCATCGAGGCCCTGTGCTGTGACGTCCAATGGGCCATCATCTGTGCTCGGTGTGCATCGAGGCCCTGTGCTGTGACGTCCAATGGGCCATCATCTGTGCTCAGTGTGCATCGAGGCCCTGGGCTGAGACGTCGTCTCACCTGATTCCGTGACGAAGGAGAGCTGCTCGGTCGATGGCCCAACACCCAGATTGTTCTTCACCTGCACCTTAAAGTAGTACCTGTTAGAGATGGGCGTGACACGTTAAGGCGCAGCACTGCAGTGTCTCGGCGGGGTGATGAAACGGCCCCGTCGCACTCCTCCCGTGCTGCTGTCAGCATCCCTCTCTGTGGACGTGGCTTGGTCCATCGCAAGGAGGTGGGAGACACACGAAGTTATGTGGCTGCGGTGCTCGATGCCCTGCGCCCCAAAACCCTGTTACCCGAGTTCAAGTCCCAGCTGCGGCTTATGTCGCTGCAAAGTGATATCTGAAACAGTCCTGGGCGTTAAACTTAAAACTATTTCTTATTTTCACCAGGTAAGGCACACCGAGCTACATAGCTCTTTCTCAGAAGCGACCTGGCCACAAATGATAGCTCAATGAAGTGGCTTCTCATTATATGGAAATGTATAGCAGCCACATACTCTAAATGCATGTTGATTCTAAATGTGGAGGGAAAAACCGGAGGGCCTGGATAAAAATCCACGCGACCACGGTGAGAAACATGAAAACTCCAAATATGTAGGCGTCAGGGCCAGGATTTATCCCACTACATCCTGCATACCAGGCGAAGTAGATAACATCTTGCCACCGTGTGTATTATTCTTTGGTTCTTTCAGTAAAGTCACGTAGATAGAAAAAGAATGATTAAAAATAAAGTGAATTCAAATAATAATGAAAATAATGAAAAGAAAAGTTTTAAGTACAAATTTTACCGTGTGTATTCTCGCCACCGGTCAACTCAAGTGTTGAATGAGTGCCTGGTGAGGTGTTTAAACGTCAGTACTGCGGAGACAACGGTAGATGGATGTTGTGCTGCCAACACCATTCCCTCGTGTGTACCATGCTGGCCTTGATGCTCGCAAACAACACTTGCCTCAGCTGTCTGGATCTTTGTATCTGTGTGCACGTGCACGTGTGTTCAGGTCTTAATAGGTTGCTCGATCACAGGCGACGGTGCTCCAACCCTTCTATCAAGGCCACAAGGGGTCTGGGTGGGGGGAGATTCCCCTATTGTCTCTGCGTGGTTTCTTTCCGTGCCTGGTGTTGGCCTTGAGGTTCTCAATGGGCGCGTGCTTGTCAACCACAGACTTGGTCTCCCACTTGTTCTGCAGGATGTCCTCCAGCGTGGCCGAATGGATGAGATACCCTGCGGCAAGAAAGTGCACGAGTAAGCATCGGCATCAATGTCCCCTTTGAGTCGTCGTACCCCATGGGCTTCACGTGACTCTGGGCAGCCGTCAGAGGCGCTGACATTTGTCGCAACGTCACGGACAGAATCGCTTCTCGAATCGTCAATGTGAAATTGCGGCGATCGATGGAGTGTGTGGATCGTTTGGGCCCGTGCAGCTTAGCTTCTGATATCTCTCATGCGATCAGGAACACTCAGGGTGATGTGGGTGGTTTGGAGGAATATTAAAGTTCATGTTGTTCCACAAATAAACATGAAACAATCATTATTAATGCCATGATTTCATGCCCCGAGCAGGCATTTGATGTGATTGGTGAAATCCCGATTTCATCGCCTTCTGCTCTAATATTATTTGCCAGCTGCACCGCTTTTAGATAAAATTGTTTTTTTTTACATTCCGGGTGGCTTTTGTTGATGACTTCCAGCGAAGGAAAGTGATGTCACAGCTGTCCTGACTGCTGTGGGCCCGTCTCAAACATCTGCGCTTTCAATAAATAAAGTTTTTTTCTTATTTGCACTAAGGTCACATATTGGCTTCCTGTGCAACCCAACGGTTTACGTGCAGACTGAAAAGAAAAACAGGCTTGAGAAATGTTCCCATATTTTTTAAGCAAAACAATGCCTCCTCTTGGTTTCAAACAAAGTAATCACCACCATCATCATCATTACAATTGGCCGTGGTCAATCCGATGCTGGATAAAAGTCTTTCCTGTATGTATATGTATGTAAAAATGTTGAACTTCTCTCGGACCGTACGTAGTCAACCGTGCTAATCGGAGGTGCAGGGAGAAGACCAACTAAACACACAAAAAAAACCACGTCTGAAGAAATTATTCACCCAGCACCGTGCATGCGAACTGATTTCATTGTCCCCATCTCATCGGTGGGCGAGCTATTAGACGCGTTCCATGCCTTGGCTGCCACTCCGTTACTATGCTTGGCCATTCGCCATCGACCCTTTCAAGCCATGACATGTCCTGACCAAGCCCCACTCACTTTCCTCTACTGCCTCGCTTGGTATACAGGAGGTCGTAGGTTCACTCCCGACCCTTGACGCCTGTATATTTGCGCCTGTTTGCGTGTCTCTCTCTCTCTCTCTCCCTGTAGTCGCGTGGAGTGTTCTCCATGTCCTCCGTTTTTTCCCCTCCACGTTCAGACACGTGCGTTGAAGAGTATTTGGCTGCTATAAATTTCCACGTGATAAACCACTTCGTTGGGCTATCATTTGAAGCCAGGACGCTTCTGAAAAAAGAGCTATATAGCTCAGTGGTCCTTACCTGGCAAAATAAAACAAAAAAATCGTAACGGTTTTAATGATGCTACTAACCTGCGCGCATTCTGTAATCCATGTGTTTCTCTTTCGGTTTGTTGGATGGTTAGGTGACAGCTAGTACTAGTAGCTAGTTATATGGTTAGGTCACAGCTGGTACTAGTAGTTCACTGGTTCGTTAGGTCATAGCGAGTACTAGCAGCTAGCTGGTTGGTTAGGTCATAGTGAGTACTTGTGCTCAATCAATCAGAATCAGAATATGTATCTACACTGGAGGAATCTTACGAGCTATAAAGTTATTTTATTTTGTTTGCACAGATGTCCAGTTGCCGGCTTGGGAAGAAAACGAGCGTCGCCGCCATCGCCACCCTCGCAAGGACGCTCGCAGGGGACGCGACTTACACGGTGCGCTCAGATTTTTGTTGGGGAAATCCTTTCTTTTTCCAACGCGCGTAGTTGTAAGCAACGCAGCGGTTTGAACGAGCCCTTACATCAGGGGTGGGGAACGTCCGGCCCGCGGGCCGTATGAGGCACCGCGAAATCGTTTGGTGTGTCCCTGCTAAGGCAACCGCAGGCGCGACTCGAAATTCAATAAATCTAGGAGCAAACCTGGAAAAGCAGTTGCGAGTAGCAACATCATCAATACCGGCTAACATCATCACATGCCTCACCAAAGAGAAGCAGTTCCAGCCCATCGCATTAGGGGCGAGTTAATTAAATGTTTGACCAAATATGACAGGATAATTTGTAAGTTGATAATTTTGTATGGCACCGCGAATGATGTTGTAAATATCCAAATGGCCCTTGGCAGAAAAAAGTTTCCCCACCCCTGCCTCACATTAATTCCAAACACGCGTGAACCCCACTCGAGGTGGATGTTGGGTTGTGGCCCTAAAGGAAATTTCTCACGGCGTTGCGGGAGTCTCCCCGATATTGTGGCTGCTTTTGTTGCTTCCGAGTGAAACAACGGATTGATTTATAATTCAGAATCTTTGTTTCGAAGCGCAGGAGGAATCCGATGAGCTGTGAAGCTCTTTTCCACACATGTCCAGTGTGTGGGCGGCTCAATTGAACGTCTTCGTAATCAGGGACAATTGCAATGCAGCACTGCGTTACAATGCTGCGCTCCGTTATAATGAGCACTTGCTCAGTGGGCTCAAAGTCATTTGTCATGCGCTAATTTTCGGCACCTTCAGCAACTTCCACGTGGCGGAATTAATCCTGGGGACGCCGGCACGTGGCTGTGCACGCTTCTGTACCTTTCTTGATCTCGCCCTCTAGAGTCACGTGGCTTTTCTTCTTCCTCTTCTCCCTCCTCTTCTTCCTCTTCTTCTTCCTCTTCTTCTTCCTCTTCTTCTTCCTCCTCCTATTCTTCTTCCTCCTCTTCTTCCTCTTCTTCTTCCTCTTCTTCTTCCTCCTTTTCTTCCTCTTCTTCCTCTTCCTCTTCTTCTTCTTCCTCTTCTTCTTCTTCTTCCTCTTCTTCTTCCTCTTCTTCTTCTGCCTCTTCTTCTTCTTCCTCCTCCTCCTCTTCTTCTTCTTCTTCTTCCTCCTCCTCTTCTTCCTCTTCTTCTTCCTCTTCTTCTTCCTCCTCTTCTTCCTCTTCTTCCTCCTCTTCCTCTTCTTCTTCTTATTTGGCATGACATTGCCAATAACAGCCAGGAGGCGGTCAGTGCGTGTGTTCGTGAGCACGCTGGAGATGTTACAACTTTTCTGATGAATCCGGAAAAAATGAAAATCGAGCATATTCTTGACACGCCGGAAGATCCGAAAAACGTGTTTCGTTTCAGCTCGATGCAAAAACAATGTCACGTCCCATAGCCCATGTTTCCTGCCAAACGTGGTAATGTCACTATTGCTATCACAAATAAATGTTCAACGATTGCGTAAGGCAAAATTATTTGAAAATTCACACAAGTTAAAAAAATCCAAGCGTTTGATATCCGTTTTTTTTGTTATCCAATGAACATCCCTTGAGCACGTGTACTGAGCAACGAGTGATTCTGCAGACCTCTGAGACATTTTGTCTGCCCTCTGACTGCCGCTGATAATACGAATGAGCAGAAGAAGACACTCTCGCGAAGACCCGGATATATGGAGCGTCGTGTTGTACGCAGCGTTGTGTTGTCTGCGGCAGACACCTGGTCTCTGGGAATGGGAGACTGCAAGGTTTTGTGATGTGGCTTTTTTTCGGGTCGAATTGAGCAAATCGAGTTGAATGGATGGAGAGAGAGTACTGAAGAAGTCCTCGAGCAGGTAAGAGAGAAGCCTTAATTAAGAAGATCCAAAAACAGGTTAACATGTGGATCGGGCATACATTCAGCATAATAATATTTATTTATACTGGAGGAATCAGATGAGCTATAAAGCTCTTTTTCACAGATGTCCAAGGTGAAAGCTTGAATCAATGTATGTTGAACTTCATTGCACCATACGTAGCTAACCGTGCTAAACGGAGGGAAGTTCTGTAAGGAAATATGCCGATGATAACGCTGATGCTGTAATGTGATAATGCTGTGTGATGATGATGGTAATCCAGAAAGATCTGAATTGGAAAAATGATCAGAGGTGAAAGCTTGATGAAGGCTGTTCTGGAAAAATTGAGGATGTTAGGAAAGAGGCTAAGGGCCAGAAAATGAATCGGCTGCTTAACAACTTGAAGGAAGGGGCTGACGCGGTGAAACAAAGGAGAGAGCTCAATATCGGACAGGGCGACGGGTGAGTCTGAGCCAAAGACACTGACACTGGGCACAGAATCAAAGAAGAAGACATTCATGTATACGTCCCTCAATCATCAATATATTGGAATTCATATGCTCAAGATGAGACAGGGCGTCCCTCCATCGTCCTCAATGTAGAGAAACGCATAAATGCGCTGTGAACACTTCGCAATGTCCTCTCCAACGACGCGAACGCTCCCCCTGTGCCCTCCCGGTTCACCAAGCCACCCTCCCTGCTCAGAATGCCTGGCGCTGCCTTCACCGTTGGTGCCGGAAGGCAGCCGGCTGTAAGCAACCAACTCCCTAATGTTCGGGGCCATGAAGAAAGTATTTTCCTAGTGGCCCTTGCAAAGCACTTTTGCCTCTGGTGGGACGGTGGAATAATAGTGGAACGTATCAACTTTTTTTTGTTTTAATACACATAAGGACGGCTGGACATATGGACCGTTGCGAAAACTATTTGGGGAGCAGGCAGCCTTTTTTCATTATTAAACAAGGGGGACGTTCTGACCACAACAAGCAGATTGCAGTGGTCATCAATCATCATCAGCCATCATTTATCCACTGCTGGAGAATGACCCCCCCCCCCCCCGTCGACCCACCCCCCCTCGCCCCCCTAAAACTGTCTCACGGTCCAGCAATGCAACGGTCCTCCTAGCTCCCGCACACGAGCTGATGTCATCGCTCCGTATAAATTACCACGAAGCCGAGCCTTTGTGGACTATGCAAAGGCATTTTGGCTCAGTGGGGATCGATGCTGTCATCCAAGCTCTCACGAACCGGGACCCAAAATACATATTTAGTTGCAACGCCTCACTTGTCAAATAAAGAGGCTGCTTTGCCCAAAACTTGTTATGAAGAGGCGAAATCCTTCGTAAAATCACACTGGTCTTGTACATTTTTCCACCACGCACCTCCGTAAAACATCTCGATACATATTTGACCCGGAATAGGAAGATATCCGCCTGTGAGTTATAACCCTGAAGGCAGGGATTGTTGATTCGCAGAGTGTGATGGTGAACAGCTTTAGAGACCCCGCTTTGAATTTCTTTGCTGTCAGCAACTTGCTTGATCGGTCTTACCCTGAGAACGTTGGTGGCAACTGCTTAGTCGGTCTTACCCTGAGAAATTGGTGGAACAGCTTAATTGGTTTTACCCTGAGAAGTTCGTGGCAACTGCTTAAGTGGTTTTTAACCTGAGAAGTTGATGGTAACTGCTTAGTCGGTCTTACCCTGAGAAGTTGATGGCAATTGCTTAATTGGTTAATGAACCGATACGTGTGGGCTGCATGGCTATATTAAATGCGCTCTCCAGGAAACCACCACCATCAACAGCCACAATCAATCCGCTGCTGGAAGACGGCATCCCTAAGCCGTTGCCATCTGTCAAGGCTCTGCAATGTACCACAATCCGCCTGGCAACTGCCCACGAGGTGCTCTCACTGCTCCATCTCCTCAGCGGACGCCCGCTCTGGACTGCACCACGATACTTGAATGTCGCCCATCATCGTCGTCCCTTCTAGACAACTTGGCGACTTTTTCGTTGTTGTTGTTGTTGTTGTTAAATGTATGCGCCAAAGTAGCAGGGACCTCCTGAAAACAAAAAAAGTATTTTGTTGGTGAATCTGATCCAGATTAGAAAAAATAATAAATATGTATTCTCGCTTTTTTTTTACCCAACAAAAGCGGAATGTACCTACGTTATGTGCACGCGTGATCTACATGCATTATGCATCTTGATAAACTATGAATAACCCAACCAATAATAGAGATCCATTCTCATTTATATGCATACTTTAACCTCTGCCCCCTCCCCCCCCCCCTCTGGTCCTTGCACCTGATTGGCTCACAAGTGATGACATCATATTTATCCGTCGATTTGAGACCAAAACAGGAGGAGGATTTCTCCATAACTCTAGCTGTCGCCTGATGATGCTGGTTGCAATAACCAGTGAAACGTCGAACTCGAATTGTAAACGTTGTGGGTTTACTCTCCAACACACCGGTGTGCTGAACTAGTAATACATTGGAACGTTTTGTTTACGTGACAAATCTTCATAATCGGCTGTGTCAGGTGGTGGCGGGTTTAACGACACATTTAAAATTTACGCGATCTAACCCAAAAAAAGAAACCCTCTATCATGAATATATTACAGCTATGACTGACGACTGATAGATTGCAACCTCTATACGCTATGGCAGCCTCCTTAATCTCAAACCGCCGGAGTGATTTTTTTTTCTTCCAAAATGTTCAGACCGCTGGTTTTTTGAGCGATGATCCTCCCTCTGGTGTGAAGAGCCGCATGGGGGCCTATCGCTGCGAAGGTCACTCGGGCGGGAGTGACGTCGCGACTACCGCCGCCGCCGCGATGGCACGATCCAGAGGGCAGCCGTGCCAACAGTTTGGCCTACGCCGCCAAATTTAGCAGAACCGCAAATGAATTGCGAGTAGGTCCCGAGCAATTACACGCTAAGTTGCCACTGTTTAAGGCTAGCATGGGAGTGGACAGGGCAAGGCAACGTGAGTTTATGGTTATTGGCCGTAGCTCTGCGTGCTCTTATATGATAATTGGTGGGGGTGGGGGGGGGGGGGCAATTAACCAGAATTTTTGCCTCATGCGGAATTAAAAAGGACTGGAAACACATTTTCATTACGAGCCAGGTCTTTTTTTATGGTTACATTTTTGTCATTCCGTCCCCCCCCCCCAAATGTGTTCACGAGATGGCGTGCCCCCATTCCAATCTCTTACAGAGCAGTGCGACGGCACTCCGTACTGGAGAAAAGAGCCAACTCTGAGGTGCCGTCAGTTGACCTCTTATCCACACGGTAGACTCTACTGTGTGGCACATCAGTTTTCTGCAGCATAGCACCAGGTGTGCCGCGGTGTTTTCGGAATTATAGGAAGGGAAATAACCTCTAAGCCCCCGCCCTCCCTCCCTCTCCATTGGTCGTGCATGCACAGTGCGGCAGATGGCCGTCAGCCTCCACCGCCGGCCCTCTCAACACTGTCGGTCGCGCGCGTGCAGTTGGTCAAACAGACACGTAGAGACGCACACAGAGGCGCAGAGAGACACACGCAGACACACACACACAGAGACACGGAGACGACGCATACAGAGACGGCTGCAGATACACGCAGAGACGTGGAGACACACGCGGGCAAAGAACACAGTCATGAATACACTCACACAATTGGGCAAATTATTGTTATGGATTTTGACAGCGCCGCTCGATTTCCTTTGTTCTCCATAAGCTCCATATAAGCACGGGATTGTGAATTCTCTCTCGGCTGCAGAGCATTCCCACCCACCCACTCACCCGCCCACCCGCCCGGGCACACGGCGACTTTTTTTGGTTCGGTGTGCCGTGAAGATCGAGCAAGCTACTAGAGTGTGCCCTGAAATGAGAGAGGCTGAGAAGCACTGCAGCACAAGGAAGCGATTCACCACGCGCTCTGCATATGAGAGTATAGTTCGTCCCTTGACCAGTCAAACCAATAAATAACACTCAGAGCTGAAATATATAGCCATATCGAGTTCAGAATCGTACGGGGGTTTTTTTTTTTTTTTCGTGCAATCATTAATCACCGGGGCCGGGACCGTCAACTCACCACACTCGAGAACGCGATTTAATCACAGGCTGATGGAACCCAGGTTCTCAGCGGTTACCGGCTCAGCGTCCCTGACCCTCTGACTCACGCTGCTGCCTCTCGGTCACAGCGTTCTAAATGGCAGCGCGCAACCCCCCCCCCCCCCCCCCCCCCCCCCCCCCGCAACCGCACCGCCGTGCAACGTGTTCGCCTCATCGCAATGCAAAAGAGAATCCGCGGCTGAACCAGTGAACGTGACGCGTGAGAATCGCAAGGGACTCTGCGGCTCTACGTCATCCTCATCAGCGTCCGTGCGCAGCACGTGATTCATGTAACCCCCCTCTTGAAATGACCATCGCCCCTGCGCGATCGGCCAAAAAAGAAGGACATCCCCAAATTGGGTTTATTCCGCCGGAGGTGACCGTGAATTGTTGTTTGTTTCCTACCAGCACCCCTCCCTCCTCCGCTCCGGAGGTGGGGGCTGGTAACATGCTAATCCAACTCTGCTAATCCAACTCCGCCCATACAGCTTTAAAAAAGACTCGGTCCTTGCGTGACAGCGTCCATTCAAGCTCTGTCTCCTCGATAGACATGTTTCTTCACCTGAAGAAGGCCACATGTGTTGTGACCGAAACGTCGTGAGAATTTTATCGTCTTATTTTGTTTTATTGTGTTATTCTCATTCTACGTGACTTTACCGAAAGAACCAAGAAGACGTGTCTGTGCTCTCTGATACAACAGTGGCCACACTGTCGTTCATGCAGGGCGCCATGTCAAAGAGCCTTGGCCAGCAGTTACCATGCTCTCCCGCCGGCTGTGTGCTTGCCATGGTCTTCTTGCGTTTTGGTTGTGTTGTTCTTCCTCCGCACCTCCGATAAGCGCGGTTGGCTACGCACGGTGTGCAAGAGGTTCAACGTGCGTGTGTGGTCATCGACCACTGGTGGTGAATGTGGAACTTTTGGTTGAGCGGTTCGAGCTCAGCTCTTGGTCCACAAGCAATTGGCCGAAAAGTTGGACCGTTTTGGGTGTCAAATTTTAACAGCTATTATTTTTGTTTCATGAATTGTATCGATAAATCACGAGTACATCCGATTGCAGGGTCAACGTGTTCGAGTTTTACGGGAAGAATGTCATTGAGTGAGGGTGCTGGAGAAATACGATGAACTATGAAGCTCTTTTTCACAGATACTTTAGCTTTCTGTCCATGGTGAACACTGCTCATGGTGGACACAGCCCCTGTTGGTTAATAGCAGCCTTTTCCTGCCCAGGCGGCGCCAACCAACCCCCTCAGCTCATGTACATTGAACTCCATCCTGTTCGCATGTTTTGACTTTCTAGATCGATATTGCCAAGCAGCAGTGAAGCGAGCAACCTCTGGACTAGTTCCAACTTTCAGGGTCTCATCAGCAGTTAAGTGCATGCCCTTGTCTTATGAGCAAGCTATGACCTCTGAGCCACCCGGGGTCACCTCGCTCACCGAAATCATTTTTTTGTACTCATACATTCATCAATTTACGAACTAAACTATTATTTATTTTACCAGGTATGGCCCACTGAGATATACAGCTCCATTTCAGAAGCAACCTGGCCACAAATGATAGCTCAACGAATTGGCTTATCACGTGAAAATGCATCGCAGCCAGATACTGTGAACGCACGTTTCTAAATGTTGAGGCAAAAATCCGCACGACCACGGGGAGAGAGCCACGCAAACGCCAAATACAGAGCAGGCGACAAGACCGGAATCGAACACGACAACCTCCTGCATACGAGACGAGCTGGCGAACATCTCTCACGAACGAAGCAGCCGAGCGACTCTTACCAGACTGCGTCGCCTTGCTCCCGTCGGTCCAGCCGAGGATGACGAAAGAGTGGCAGCCTTCGACGGCCACCACGGTGAGGTTCTTGGGCGGCGAGCCCGGGAGGGCCACGGGGGTCAGCTCCTTGGGGATGAGGTCATCGAGCGTCTTCACCTGGAAGTGCTCGAGGGCGTCGGACAGCGAGCAGGGCGTGTCGGTGTCCTTGCTCAGATAGCGCACGTGGGGCGCTGCGACGCACGGACGGATGGACGAACAGACAGACAGACGAACGGACAGACGGACGGACGGACGGACGGACGGATAGACGGACAGACGGACAGACAGACGGACGGAAAAAGGAACAGAATCAGAATGTGGTTATTTATACTGGAGGAATCCGATGAGCTATGAATTCTTTCACGGATGATCATGGATCGTTGATCGTCTCCTGAGATGCCCTGCAGCACCACAATGCCATTCCTCGAGATTTGGATGCCAACACCAGAAGCGGTGGCCTGTGCAGAATATTGGGATAAGACCATGTAGGTTGGACATGAGACACGGCGAAGAAGATGAAGACAGATGATCCAGTAGGGGTGAGTCAGAATGTTACACCAACAAGAAATAAAAAAAAACACGATAGGAGTGCAAAGTATGGGATAGGTAAACAAATCATCAACAAATATACAAATACAACTTTTTATTTAACCAGGTAAAGCCCACTGAGATATTAACTTATTTCTCAGAAGCGATCTGGCCACAAATGATAGCTCAACGAAATGGCTTACAATGTGGAAATTCATAGCAGCAAAATAATCTAAATAGTCTCAATACAACCATGAAGGGAACGAATGCGAGTTCATACGCACGCACGCAAGGGTGCGGTAAATGCTTGCGGCGCACGTCTGTCCCACGGAAATGACTGAAATTGACAGTGACTGCCAGGGCAAAACGCGTTTTGCATTATTTTGTAAACGGTGCTTCTGCCACTGATGTGTGTGTTGCCAAGTTTTGGGCAATTGTTGAGTCAATTTGGCCACTTGTCCACAGGGCAAGTCCGTAACAGCAACACGACGTGAAGTTGACACTGCATTGAACCATCGTGACCCCCACCCCCATTGCAGATGCGTGAACAGACGGACGGACGACGGACGGAGCTCTTTGCGTTCACACATTCCAGGTCGGTCAGAAAGAACCAATGAGTACAGTAATTTCTGCAGCCACGAAAGCTTCAATCCTAGATTAACAACAAAAAACATCAGAAGTGAAATTCTCAAGGTCAATATTGGAAAGGCGTCAGACTTGAGCGCGGTCCAACAGTGGCGCGGTCGCTTGGTGGGTCGAGCGGGGAACGACGCGCCTCACCGGTGAATCTCTTCCTTCCCGCCGAGTCCAGCTCGGATATCGGGTACATGCGGAACGGCGCGTGGTCCAGGTGCGAGCCGACATCCGTGGTCTGCAGACCTGGTGGCCGTTGCGCCAGCGAAGGCGACGTGACGGCATGGGGGGGGGGGGGGTCACACCGTACACGCACCGCCACACAAGAGCAGCAGTCGCAGGGGACAAACGATCGTAGCACGCGATGTGAATGTTCCGCGCTCTGAGCCAGCGACACAGAGAGAGAGAGATAGCAGCCGTAGCTTCCGCCAATGTGATTTTTCGGGTTGCGCTGAAATCACATCGGGGAGAGCACGACGTCCGACGTTTCGGCACATTCCACATGCGGGATGGTTGCTCGGGAAATACATTCGGGAGCTCAAGAAGAATATTGCCCCACGTGAAGCGAAAGATCTGACGGGATCTGGACCAACGATCGCCATTAATTGGCTTTCCACCAACAGGCAGGAAAACTCAGCACGGCTTCTTTATGAAGGAAGTTGCCCTGCTTTTTAAGTTGAGTAATCGTTTTTTTTTTCAAGTAGAATTGATCACTTTTTTTCAACAGCCACGACCGGGCGTCGTGTACCGCCCTCAGTATTGGTCTTACAGCGGCAGTGAAAATAATAGCAGCACTCTTCTGATTCCAGCTGTATTTAAGCGGACAGAACCTATCATGTGAAGCTTATTTTGATTTCAAAAGCAGTTATGAAAACACATTCACCGCATCCGAAACGCAATCCATCAATAACAACACGCATTTTTTTTTATCCTGCTACTCAGGCAGAATACTTTCTTTTGGAAAGGCAACAATAATTTCGTCCTATAAATGCAATCAGAGACCTGTTACCCAAATGAACGGCAATCCCATTACAATATAACACGGTGAATAGGCAACCCGGTAATTGGTAGCTGCATGATTCAAACAAAGGGTCTGAATGTAACCAACATCGCCCGACGATTAATTTGACTGTAGGACATAGCTCGCTGCAGCCGGGAGGCGGGTCGCAGCGCTGCGATGATCTCTTTTTTTACACGCAAGCTTTTGGGCGAGCGACAGTCGGCCTTCACGATGACGCCGACCGCGATCTCGTGCGTGAACGCCAAAGAGCAGAAAAACGTTGAGCGACACGCAACTCCGGAGCGCGACGGCGGGGGTGGAAGCGACGTTGAGTTCGATAGGGAGCCCCCCCCCCCCAACTCCGCTACCTGTCAGTGACGCGGTCGCGCGTGCTCGCAGTGCGCCGTTCGATCACCCCGAGTGGGGGTGGGTGGGAGAAACCCAGCAGGTTTGAACGGCGCATTGGCGCGGCCGTTCAAACCCGACACAATTTCACCGCTAGGAGAGGAAAGGACAAACACGTTGCCTCGTGCGGCGCCCGGGGAGCTTGTGAGGAGGACGTGCTTTAGCCGTGCAGGCCGCGCCGGCTGGCAGTGAGCCGCGCCCGCCACGCGCACCGGCGCGGAACGGCACAAGGCGGCTCGTTTCTCCGCAGCCACGGCGTATTACTGGGCAGGTGCCAGGCGGACCGTAGGCCCGGCTCACGCCTCTTTTTTTTCCACCGGTGTACGCGAGCCGCGCCGAAATCGACCTGGAGGCGCCAGGTCGATTTCCCACTGTAGAAGCGAAGCCGAGCCGTGCCGCTAAAGTCACGCGCAACGAACGCGCGGAGATGCGTGAAGGCGACGCATTGTTACTGACCGACGTGACGTCACATGCAATGAATGTGTCATTAGCCCCGCCCCTGGCCCTGCTTAGCCCCTAGATTCTGATGCTGAATGATATCAGCTTGAATCCGGTTTGTCATGGCAAACGGTGGAAAACCACCCGCATCACGGCATGAAGCTTCAAACAACAACAATATACAGCCAATGAAGCGGGCTGTGTAGCCAGGTATTGTAGGTACCTTCATCTACCAATGGCAGGTCCTCAGATTGTCCGATTGGTCCTTCTCCTGATGACTCTGCATGGGCACGAAAGAAATGAAAAGGGACAAAAGGTTAAGGTTGAGAGGTCGTCAATTGCCACCTTACTCCGTCACTTCCTTCCTCTCTGCCTGAAGCCCCGAAGCTCTGAGAGAATTGAACCTGAATCAGCCAGGTGGATTAATGACTCGGCACTCAGCGATTCGCCACCACACTCACTCGCTCACCGGGCGGTCAGCCGCCTCCTTGCCACTCTTATGTTGCTACGATTGCAGCTGATGTTCCCGTGAACGTCACTCGTTGATTCCGTCACACGGCGCTGTGTTCAGCGACCGCACTGCAGGTCACGGGCACTTCTTCTTTACCTCGTGAAGCTCGGCTTGGGAATTCCCTCCCCATCGACTCTTTTTTCCCAAAAAAGTTATTCGAACCTTGGTCAATTCAAGAAACGTATTTAGCACCGACCCCTTATGAAAACTTCAACAGTTTTCGTTTGCTCTTGACTTCGTTTTTGTATTTTTTCTAATTTTCTTTGAACCTATCTACGTGACTTTACCGAAAGACCCAAGAATATACATTTTCGTTTGCCTTTGGCCCTTTAGGCCCGTGCTCATGGACCACGATTTTGGAATACGTACGCGCAATAGCATCGCTCCAAGAGGCTTACAAAGGTCAACATGATTATAAGAGGTTAACAAAATGATTGGGGGAAGGGGAAAAAAAAGCAAACACACAATGCATGGTTCTTCTGGAACAGTGCCAATGTGCGGCTTCTCGGAATTGGCTCGGAGGACGAAGCTGAGTGTCGTCGTCATGGAACAAGCGGAGTGGACTCGTGAAACGGTGCTCTCACGGTGTTCCGATGCTAACGAGCAAAACAAGACATAAACAACAAACAACACACACGCGCACACTCGCACGCACGGATAAATTGGACCGGTGGGTCGGCACTTGGAACGAATTCCTGGAATTGACAAACGCGCTCTGTTATTGTTGTTGCATTTTTGCAGAACAACAGAGTTAATGCGTGGAATTATAATTTGAAATTATTGTAAAACTAAATGCAATGGTGAAATCCATTCGAAGTGGTTCATTCATAGGCCTTTTATGCTTCTTCTTTCCAGTTCAATTATGTAATTTGCGATCATATTTAGAGTGGCCTGAAAACATCGAACAATCATCTACCACCCTCAATTACTTTCATTGTATGTATAATTTATTCTGCATTACACAAGAGTAATTAATAAAAATTAAACAAATGTTGCAGTTCACTGCTGCACCTAGCCTGGCACAAGTGCTGTAGTGACATCACCGCCACTTAGTGGTGAATGGCAGTTGTCACCGTGTTCAATTTCCCGGCGCCATGACGGTGATGGAGGTTGCATGACCATACTTCACCACGTTGGTCAGTGCTGGCTGCAGGGCGAGTGAGGTAACCGGGCCTGGCCGTGATATCACTTTCCAGTGGCCGGGAAATTAACTGGGCACGTCACTGCTTCCTTTCACGTTCACGTCAAATACAAAGGTGCCGCTTTAAAATTGATTTGCTCACGTCAACCCCAGAGGCTATTTTGGCCTACTCCTCCACGCTGCCTAGTTAAGTTTGAAGAGGTGGGAGTGCTCACGCTCTACCCCACCACACGCGACTTACCAATGGGACTAACTGGGACACCCATTTATATTTGTCCGGTTGGCAAAGGCAGTGGTGATTTAAGAACTTTGCACCATTGTTACAGCTGCCGTGCCGGGAGATCGAACCAGCAACCAAGAACCATTTCCAAATCGAGATATTACAAAAACACGGTGAACAACTGCCATTCACCACTAAGTGGCGGTGATGTCACTACAGCACTTGTGCCAGGCTAGGTGCACTATTAAGGCCATGTGAAGTGTCGAAGGCTTGCTGACAGGAGGTCACGGGACAAACCCAGTTGTTATGGGTTAACTGTCTGAGATAACTGACAGATGTACCACCTATGCTCCCCACAGTCCTAACTTGCCGTGTTTTAGCCGCCTGGCACTACGATCATTGTTGTGAGGGCGACTGCCTCCAAGTGCCCAGTAGCGTTGTTAACGATCCTCCTCCACAGAGGCCGATCTTGACACCGCTCGTACCAGTCATAAGCAAGTCCACCCAGTTCCACATGCTCCTGTGCCACATCAGCACATCACTTCTGCAACCCGTGTCAATGCAGCTCACTGATGAGACTGTGTCGAGATCTTTCAAGGATATGCGAGCTCCTCACCCAATCCACCCTGGTAAAACCCAGGATGGATCGTAAGCAGGTCAGCCTGAATGTTTCGAAACGGTGCAGAGAAGGGAGGGCATAACTGTGGGCGAGAATAGCTGGGTCAGGTAGCTTCCAGACAGCGTTACACACCCAATGAGAAGATAATGAGGCTTCGACTGATTCAAACGAAGACCCACACACACATTTTTTTTGGGACACCATATGTTTCCTAGGAGTTGTCATGCCAACCTCCCGCATTCCATGAATGTAAGCAACGGGCAAATTTGGTTGCAGAGAGAGACATAGAAAAACACAATTGTAACCAGAGTTATCTTGATCTGGTCAATCGCAGTTGAGTTTTTACTCAAATGTTCCTGTCGTTAATGTAAATTTTGTTTCGAATGGGTCTCTCAATGTGCAAATTCAATCACGCTGTGCGACAGACAGATGTCACCGGTGCTCACATCGCATCGGACTGGATGCATTTGGTGGCAGGTCACCCGAGCAACATAATTAAGGGAATTGTTTTTCCTTCTCGGCCACCACATGTGCCTGCCGCCGCTACAAATAAAAGAGCGCGCTCCACCGACCGCGACCGGCTTGGCACTGTCGACGGCGATTATTTTGTATTTTTTGTTGCTGCGAGGAATGCGCATGACGAACACGCGCACACGCGCCGAAACGCACACACGCGCGCGCGCACACACGCACGCGCACACACGCACGCACGTGCACGCGCGCACACACACACGCGCACACACGCGCACGCACGCACACACACACGCGTGTGTGTGCGCCACTGAGAAACCGCATTTTGCGTGTAAGCACGGGAAAATTACGCAAAACGAGAAACCGACTGTTTGATTTGATATGCTTGATTATCTTTTCCTTCCACCTCTTTCGCACGGCTCATGTAGACGCAGAGCGACAACTGCAGCTTCACATCGAGGTCGGTCAAGCCAGACAAGCGCGTCGGGAGCAGCCGGAGTGGATCGCCGCCGTGATGTCTCCGTGGTGTTTGTGGGTTGGGCATTGCAGCCAATGAAGTAATCGGGGTTTTTTTTAACAGGAGGTGATTTGACCCAAAACCTGTTGCTGTTGGGGTGAGGTACAATTGGCAGGGTTGAGTGGGCCCTGGTCGTTGGTTAGATGAATTCGATATTCAAAGAGGTAATTTTGATGCAACGGTTACGAATTACAGTTGGGTTCCAATTCACAATTAGTTGACACTTCAATCGTACTAACGAACTATTTACTCTCCGTCTACGATAACCTCGCCCCAGTAATCAAACACAACGTCACGGATGTCATTGTTATCATTGAGCATTATCACCACACACGGACAATCAGGCCTTCTTCGATCAGAGAATGTCATGCGAGAGCTGTCGAGCTTACAGCCTTTTATCAATCCACTGCTGGATGAAGGCCCTCGCCCACTGTGACATTGATCGAGGGGGTAGGGGAGGATGTTTGAACATACTTCACCACACTGGCCGGTGCAGGTGGATGAACGTGACGCAGCACCGGTTCAGATTTCGCTCAGACATTGACGTTAGCCGTGTCCGGGAATTGAACGTAGGTCGTTGGGGCTTCACATCACCGATATTAATTAACAACCTGCTAACGAGTTGAAATATTCACTTCTGTAGAAATGCCTTTTGGGTTTAATTTGTTGTCCTTCCCCCGCACGTCCAACGAGCACGTTTGGCTACGTGCGGTGCAAAAGAAGTTCAACGTGCTTACGTACGTACATTCACACAACCTCCATCCATACAACGCACATACGTACATACAACGTACGTACATTCACACAACCTCCATCCATACAACGCACATACGTACATACAACGTACGTACATTCACACAAACTACATCCATACAACGCACATACGTACATACAACGTACGTACATTCACACAACGTACATGCATACAACGCACATACGTACATACAACGTACGTACATTCACACAACGTACATGCATACAACGCACATACGTACATACAACGTACGTACATTCACACAAACTACATCCATACAACGCACATACGTACATATAACGTACGTACATTCACACAACGTACATCCATACAACGCAAATACGTACATACAACGTACGTACATTCACACAAACAACATCCATACAACGCACATACGTACATACAACGTACGTACATTCACACAACGTACATCCATACAACGCACATACGTACATACAACGTACGTACATTCACACAACGTACATGCATACAACGCACATACGTACATACAACGTATGTACATTCACACAACGTGCATCCATACAACGCACATACGTACATACTAAAAACAAAAAACCCCCGTATAGACTTAACAGACAGTTGGGGCAAGTGCTGTGAGCGAGTAGCACCAATGAAGGCTGGCGCGGCACACGAGGGGGTGGGTGGCCAACACCACGCCCGGCCGCCTTTGTCTCCCCAGGGCAGATGCGTACTAAGCACACCGCACCAGGTACATACAATGCACACACGCGCATACATCGTGCGCACGTGTAAACGCACGTGCGTAAGTACAACCGCCGACGACTGACCGTCCCCACGAGGCGCCGCGCCGGGCACGTGAACCCATTCGCTTGCCTTCCGCTCCGCCGCAGTCGGCGCGTCCGTTGACTGCCGCGCCGGGCGGGCACAGGAAGGGCTTGCCGGCCGTGGTGGCGGCGTGCGGGACCACCGTGGTCTCCGCGTCCAGGTCGTAGTCGTACGAGTCCGGCAGCGCCGACGTGGGCTCCTCCTCGTATGCCGCGTGGTCGACCGTCGTAGGTGGCCGCGTGGTCGTGGTGGGTCTCGTCGTCGTCGTCGGACGTCTCGTCGTGGTCCTCGCGGTGGTGGTGGTGGTGGCCGCCGTCGATGTCGTCGTCCTCCTCGTCGTGGTGCGCCTGGTGGTGGTGGTGGCGGCCGTCGTCGTGGTGGTGGCGAGGGCCGGGAAGGTGATGTGGAGGCCGAGGAGCGGTCGGCCCTCGGGCGAGAAGAGCGGGCGCCCGCGCGCGTCCATCAGCGGCTTGCCGTCGCGGCCGTAGCCGAACACCGGGAGGCCCTCCCGGCTGAGGATCGGCGTGCCGTCCTCCGCTGCGCCAGGGGATCGATAGAATTCAACGTCAACGCAGTCGTGTTCAGCGCTCGCCGGTTCGCTCCACTCAACTCGCTCGCCGGCAACCGGGTCCGCCTCCTTATCGCTCGTCTATCGCTGCTGCCACGCTCACTGTTGCCGTGAACCTCGCTCGGTGGTTCATCCACCCGTGTTGAGGACTCGCTCTGGAGGACTGACTGTCTCCGTCTCATCCGCACTGCGTTCCTAACACTACGTATGAAAATAAATATTTTACCAGGTAAGGCCCACTGAGCTATGTAGCTATCTTTCAGAAGCGACCTGGCCACAAATGATAGCTAAAAAAAGTGGCTTATCATGGGGAAATTTATAGCAGCCAAATATTCTAAAAGCATGTTTCTAAATGTGGAGGGAAAACCCAGAGGACCTGGAGAAAAAAGCCATGTGACCGCGGGGAGAAAGAGACACGCAAACTCCAAATATACAGGCGTTAGGGTCGGGATCGAAGCCATGACCTCCTGTTTACTGGGCGAGGTAGTTAACATCCCACCACCGTTCCACCACCACTTTTCACGACCCACACTTCTCTTTCTGCTTCTTATCCCGGTACCGCTCTTTTCTTTTCCCAAGTTCTCACTCCACATCCTTTGCTCAAATCACAGAAACGTATTCATTCTTACAAACCACACCATCAATGGTGCTATTTGTTGCCGGTCACTTGGCGCGCTTTGCACCTTTGGGCCCGATGCGCAGCAATCATAATCTTTGAACGGGGAAAAACAGCACAGTCTTAATACCTTTGATATATACCCCTTGGTCAATCCACGGCAGGATGAAGGCTTTCTCATTCACTTTTTGGTCTCGGGAGTTGTCTCTCAAGTTACACGCTGGAGGACCACTTTGTGGAACATCAAATAGCGGTGTCTGTTAAAGAAAGACTGGGTCCTGCCATAAAAACGTGGAATTTACACCACTGGTAAAAAAAAACAATCTTGACTGTTTAGCTTGATCTTTCCAAAGATGCAATTCCAGTAGCATCATCACTCCAGTGCTGGATGAAACCTTGCCCAAGCCATCGCTATCTCGCACATTCTTGCAATGCAACAATCTATCAAGCACTTGCACGTTGCCCTGATTTCATCACGACATCTCCATGGTGGATGTTATTCTCAGACACAGTGCTTGCCTTGGCTGCCACCCCATCGTCTCACCCACCATGAGCCGTAGAAATTCAGGCTTTTGGCTGCTGCGGTGGCTAGATGTTAACTACCTCGCCTGGTATGCAGGAGGTCGCGGGCTCGATCCCGACCATGACGCCTGCTGCTGTATATTTCGAGTTTGCATGTTCTCGCCGTGGTCGCGTAGTTTTTCTCCAGGTTCTCTGGTGTTTCTCTCCAAATTTAGAAACATGCGTTTAGAGTATTTGGCTGCTATACATTTCCACGTGATAAACCACTTCGTTTGGGCTATCATTTGTGAAAGCCAGGTCGCTTCTAAAAAAAGAGCTGTACAGCTCAATGGACCTTACTAGGTGAAGTAAAACATAGTTTTAGTAAATGACTAACGTACCAATGTCCTCCGCAGCTACCCTGCGATCGAGTGAAAGCTGGAATTTAATGGTCAGTTTTAACTGTGATCTATGTCCAATCCAGACTTGCAAGTGCTTCCACTTGGCACTATCTTAGAAATCAACCGTTCGAAGCATTTTCCCAAACCGCCTTCAACTCAAACGATCTGGAACGTTGACAAACAAGAGGCAGTTGAGGCTGAGCAGCCCCTCGCGATGAGACGTCGTTACAAGCACGCTGTTTTGTTTTACTGGCGGGATTTAATTTCCCTTTGATATCTATCTCTATAACTGCGGTAAGGGCTACGGAAGAACTTAAAGAAAAAAAGGGAAAGCATGCTCCAGCAGCAATGCCCAGCCCTAGCCAGATAGACAATCGAGGGCCAACGCTCATCCGCAAGCCAGGATAAATACTGATATGGCGACAGCGCTCCTCATCAATCAAACACTGGGGTGGGGTGGAGGCGGAGGGGTCCTCTTCTCTGACCGCTTGCAGGGCAAATAAAGTCGAATTGTGCTTCTGTTTGATGGGGCAGACTGCAGCAAGCCAGGGGGCAGACACACACACACAGAGAGAAAGAGAACCCACATCTCTGCCCTAAGCCGCAAAAGGCATAATAATTTAGTGGTTATGGAAAACGCCTCCTGCATATGTGAGGAGTGGTTTGTGGGAGGGGGGGGTTGCTGCCAATTGCCCATCCTTTGATGCATTTGAAAGAGCGAGATGTCCCCCCACTGCCTCTCCCTCAACCTATGCCGAGTCCGACTCCCCCGCGCCTGTGCTGTGTCTGCGGGGACGTTTTGCAAACTATGAGCCGAGTGTGCTTTGCCTGCTACGATGGGGATGGTTGAGGTTTCTTTGTACGCGTCTGGGTGATTTGGTTACTTTCTCTTGCACTTTGCACTCCTATCGAGTTTTTTTTTTATTGTTTGTTGTTGTAACGTTCTCAGCCGCCCCCCGACTGGACATCTGTGAAAAAGAGCTTTCTAGCTCATCGGATTCCTCCTGTATAAATAACAGATTCTGATTTCCGGAACCCGGATGGCTCGGGTTCTTGACCGCCCGGGCGGTCGCGGCTACGCGCACGATGCGTAATCGAGCACTGGGGAGGTGAGGGTTAGTGGATCACACGAATCTTGTGAGAATCCCCTGCCAGTGGGTGGATGTCCCCTGGCTCCCCAGGAGAATGCGGTACAGCTGATGTGTTTCATCCGTGCAGGATAGAGCATTGCCCCGTCGCACGTGTGTGTTCTTCTCCGGGTGCTCCGGTTTTCTCCCACGATGTGAATTGGTCTAGAACGCCTTAATATATAGAAGACTGCAGAGCTTTGGGGGATAATTTTGTCGCTGGCTGCTGCCTTTCCCGCTCGTCTGCGGTTCATCGTCGCACCTCTGAGTCATTCTCCGTCTCCGCAAGCGAGACGACGCTGCACGGCGGTGCGTTACAAATTGGAATTATTAATTCAACGCGAAGCTGCATGGGCTCGGCCGCTACCCTCTTATGGCACAATAAAAAGTACATTTGGCATTCGCCCAATTATCATGGCACATTGGCTATCACGAAGGTGCTGCGTTTATGCTTCGTAGGCTTGACAGAACGTTTCAGTCCCGAGTCTACTTGCAGAACTGGCTGACAGTTTCCCCGACCTTCCCTCCATGGTGGGAGGGAAGTGAACCTAACGGAGCTCAAGCTCTCTCATGATAGAAATGTTTTACGGATTTGTATTTTTTTTTCATTCCACCGCCATGACGCTGACCGATGCGAAGGACGCTCTTTATTCACGTACGTCTCTTCCCCTGTAAACCACCACGAACATCACGACTGTTGCCGAGGGCAGCCACGGACTGAATTAACTCACGTAGCCCCCCCCCCCCCCCCACTGGCAAAGTGAGCCACCTTGTCCCAGAAAAAGTGGGGCCACATGGCTCAGTTACAGCCCCCTTGGCCAGGTCAGTCTGCCGTCAAAATCCGAACCAATGACGCTTTCCAGATTGACAAACCGGGCTGAGCTGCTTTTCAGAGTTCATCAAAACGGTGCCATTGCTGCGTCACATTGGAATTGGCCAGATCGTGAAGTGTAATTTGAAATATTGGGTCATTTTCTGGTGTTCCTCCCCACCTCTGTACGTATTCCCCAGGACGTTAATGGCATTTGGCGAGATTGCACACAATGAAATAAATGTGCACCGCGAGAGTCCGTCACGATTTCATCATTATTTTTCTTGCAATGCCGTTTCAGTGAAATCCCACCAGCAATCTCACCGCGTGCACCTGCGGGCACCCTCCACTCTGGCAATAAAACCCCCATCAGGCATCTCGCGGCATGAATCCGTTTAATGCCATGCCGCAATTTACACCGTGGGAACATTATTCTTTCCAATTTGGTGCCTTATTAGATAGGGGAGTGATCAGCCGCGCAAGCCGCATTGTCAGCTTATCGACGTATCTAGGAAGGCTCTGCCCCCACCGCCCCCTTCTCTAACCCCGAGCTAAAATAACCTTTGCAAAGATGATGGCAGAAAGCCGCACGAAGCTAGTGCTCACACCTGTCCCGCATCTTCGTGATCTGTGCAGTCACGTGTGCGTAGGGTCATTGGCTTGCATATCCACATGACATAAGTGTTGCTCCAGCGTTATGAGCCAGCTCCGTCGCCCTCGAGGATCGCCATCCCATCGCTCTCAGTCTCGCTGCAGAGCACGTTCAGACGGCTGCTCTTAACGCCTCATTTCAAACCAGCTGAGGGGCTCCTTCCTCCGCGAAGCGAGGGGATGCGCAGTCTCATTATGAACGGAACCCCCTCGCACGATCGTCTCACGAGGGAGGGCGGATGGGGATTGTTTGGTGTGAGTGGAAATTGACAATTTTGTCAGCGCACTACAGCTGCGTTGGATAAAATGTTGGCTAAACAATTGGGGTTCGAATACAACATTAGTATTTGTAAAAAAAATGTCATTTAATAATTATCATCATGGTCATAATCATCGTCAACGGCCATGAGCTCTCCACTGTCACACAAATAAGTTCCACATTTATTTTGGCTTAGATCGTGAAGGAATGAATGCAAATAAGGTTGTCACATGGGCAAATATGCCAATTGATTTGGTTGTTAGTTCTTGTAGGTTTACATTTTGGGAGCCAGTGCCCTATATGAACCACAATGTAGCCACTTGTACATCAGAGAGCATAGACACGGCACCTCCAAACGAATAAATGTAAGAAGGGAATTTCAGTGCGATGGTCATTAAGAGCTGGTTGCATGAATCACGTGCTGCGCGCGAACGCTGATGAGGATAACTTACAGCCGCAGAGTCCCTTGTGATTCTCATCGGTCACATTGACCGATTCTGCCGTTGTCATTTTTTTTTATTGTGATGAGGCGAACACGTTGGACAGCGGCGCGGATGTGGGGGTTGCGCGCCGCCAAAAGGTGAAACAGTGTTGGCGTTCTCTGGTCTGACACTGGTGAGACTAGGCCCTGAAGGAGGCTGTCTCTGATGTAGGACAATCAGTTTGAAAGACAACGCTTACATTGTTATCAGAGCATGTTTGTTTGCATGCTCACCACAAGTGCTGCGTGTGGTTAATGCAGACTTGATTTCTGGCAAAAGGTTTATATTCGGTGTTTGAACATCTTAACACCTGTTTTATTGCCAGAAAGGGTAGAACCTATTCTTCCTTTTCCATAGTTTAGTTTTAGCTTATATTTTAGTTATTAGTTTAGTTTAATAGTTTTAGTTTAGTGTCTTAGTTTAGTTAATAGTTTAAGTTGGATTCTTTTCAGCCTGGTCATCAATGGCTGCACACACTCAACAACAACAACAACAACAAAAAAACCCATCAAATAGAATCTGGCCTTTCACTCAATTTGTCTAAATTCCAGCTCTGAGGCTAAAAGATGATGGTTTAATTAAATCTTATGAAAGTTCTGCAGGCATGAAAAGGCTTATTTGAAGTGGCTTCAGAAGTGTTTTTTTTTTTGTCACGGATTATCCCCGATTCAACTGCGAACAGTCAGGGCCCATTAAGTGAAATGTGTTCATCTCTTCGCATCCCACTAACGCACAACTGGAAGAAAACAAGAAGAAAACGTTCAAACGGGTTAATTATAATTGACCACGATTAATTTCTTAATGAGGCCAAACTAGTTTCTCGATTATAGACGGTGCTTATCTTCAGTTTGCAGGTCTGAGCAAGGAAGGGAACATCCACATTCCTATGGCAGAGTGACAAATCAATAGCGATAGGACAAACACTCTTGACTTCCCACAAAAGCGGCGACGTGTGATGTACACCTGAGGAAAGTAGGGCTGCATTGACCTTGACGTGATGCTGCAAGCACAATTATCTTATCTTCACGTAATTCATAGAGCGCCTGACCACGTCGCTTTACAGAGAATTAAGAACGGTACAACATGTGAATGTAATAGATGAGAGGAAGCAGTGGGTGGCGAATCTGCGATGATGCGTGAATTCCGTGAAAGCGAAATTGATGACAGTAAATGATGACGAATGTACTGAGTGAATGGGGTTAATGAGTGATCGCCATATAATGAGAAAATGAAGAGGGAACGGTGGTGGTGGTGGTTATGACGGGAAGATTAAGGTTGTCGTGGGGCGAGCTGGGGTTTCGAGTGAGGAGCGGAACAGGGGCGGAGCCAGGATTTCAGGCCGGCGTGACATTCAACAAATTTTAATTTCAAGAATGATTAGAGAGTCAGGCTGTTGAACCAGACGCCATCGGTTGGCGACACACTCTGACAATGCAGTTGCACGGAGTCCGCCAGAGCGAGTGTCGTACACTTACACGCAGAATGTCACCCCTGTCACCCCCCTGGCTCCGCCCCTGGAGCGGAACCTAGTGGGCGAAGGTTTAATGTGGAGGGGAAGTTAGATAGCTGCAAGCGTGAGCCTCAGAGGCTCAGGCTGCAGCCGACCTGTGACCACACGTGAATGAGCCGCGCGGCCTCACCCTCTATGCTCTGTCCGTCGCTGCCAATCTTGACCTTGAGTGCCTTGCCCCTGATGTCTTGGAGCACCTGCGCATTGGGCGTCAGGAGAATGTTCTTTTCCAAGTCCACAATCTGGGGGAGCAGAAACGCGGCGCTTTAGGCACAAGCGCGGAGGCGGGAGTGCCCGCGGACCTCAACGATGCGAGGGACGCCACACTCGCTCACGCAACAAGTTATATTTTTTTTTCTCTCAAACGATGATACTTCTACAGAGTTGTGTCGAGATAAGTCTCCCACGGTAGCCTTACCGGCACCTCCTGGGCCATGTGGCTCACTCTGCTCAGGGAGCAGCTGTATCCCCCCCCTCCTCCCACCCCTGCTGGGGCCATCCTCATAAATTGCCCGGGGACATTTATGGGCACATTGTTGGGGTAAGAGGGGTGCTCGCAGTCAGTGGCATCTCTCGCTTTGATCAAATGTAGGGCCGCGTTTAATGTTTGAAAAAAAACTAACAAAAAAAATTGGCGTGAATTACAAAAAATTACAGATTTATTTGTATTCTTGGGAAAGGATTACCTGTTTATACATAATGGTTAAATATTTGTAGATATCATTACATATTTATGAAAAACCATTACATATTTATATGTCGTATAAATAGATAATAACGCATTACTTTATTATATACTTGTATAAAAAAGAATATATAATTATCCCGTTGTATTTATATGCATACATAATGATTATAATTATATTCACTAGATATACATTTTATAAATATAAATACATCAAATATAACAAAATATTTCCATGTCTTAAAGGGTTAGAACATGTTTTTACTCTTTGGTTCTTTCGGTAAAGTCACGAAGAAATAAAATAAAATAAAGAATACACAGAATACACAGTGTGTTCCATTATCTACGTGACTTTACCGAAAGAACCAATGAGTAATTCCTGCAGTCACGAAAGCTTCAAATCAAACATGTTTTTTATATATATACTGATTGTGTTAATTTAATTTTGAATACTTTTGCCAGTCCACTGCTGAAGGCCTTCCCGAAGTTGCGTCAGAGTTAGCCTGGTAACTTTAATCTAAATTGTCTTATGGTTGTTATTGTTTGACTTGCATCCCACTGGGATTTTTGCACACAGCGATGATATACGGTGTTTTGTTCTGGAAGACTTTGATGTTCATGTTTTTGTTTGTTGAGGTTGCATGCGAGTCAAGAACCGCATGGCTCACAGGGCTATACCTAATAAATGAAACTCAAAACTGAAAATGAGTTGCGGAGGGGTTTTGATTTAAAGCTTTCGTGACTGCAGGGATTCATATGCTTGGTTCTTTCGGTAAAGTCACGTAGAAGGGAAACAATAAAATAATAAAAATATAAAACAATAAAATTCTCACGACGTTTCGACTGCAACACAAGCAATCATCATCAGGTGTGAAAACCACAGCAAGAAAAATTGAAAAGTGAAAACCACGGCAAGAAAATTTGAAATTTTCTTGCTGTGGTTTTCACACCTGATGATGATTGCTTGTGTTGCTGTCGAAACGTCGTGAGAATTTTATTGTTTTATTATTTTATTGTTTCCCTTCTACGTGACTTTACGGAAAGAACCAAGAATATGCGGAGGGGTTGTTTGGCCGTGACGCACTTCCGGTGCCTCCGACTGCCTCCCCAGCCACAGTTGGGCCACAACACCAACGCAATCAAATCGCTCGCGAAATCGCGTGGCCCAGAGGTCGGCAAACCAAAAAAAATAAACAAGGAGAGACATTTTTGCCTGTTAAAGAGACCGCATGGTGCTCTGTAGCCGCAGGTGGTGAACCTCTGACGTGGCCTTGAACGCCTGCAACTGCTTTGTCCACATGCGAGCGAGTAGTTTGCCAAACAAGGTTCCCACATTAGAGGTTCCCACTTAAGAATTAAGTTTCCCGCGTTTAGAAGGGCGTCAATGTTGTTGTTTTGTTCTGGCAATTGTTGTGACCGACTGTCTGTCGGTGCTGTCGGTTCTTTGAGACAATGTATTAGCTCATTACCAATGGCCTGCAAATGTATGTTGCTGTTGTCGTTGTGAACTTACCACCTCTTTTCCATACAATACACAATTTCAAGATTGTAACGACCAATCTTGTGTTCACGAATGTGCACGGACAATAGACATGGACATTTGGGTAACGGACCAGATGAGTTGTACTGTAATATATGACTTTTCTGAAGGCATCCGCGTGCTGTGTCAGTTGTGGGGTTTGTCTTTCCCTACTTCGCCGCACTAGTCAGAGCAGGTTCGTGATGGTGGGACCCAGAGTCGGTTCAGATATCAGCTAACATCAGCAATGGCTGGGAATCAAACTCAGGTCACCGGGTTCGCAGTGCAGTGCGCTAACCACTCCACCATCATTCCACCCCTGATCATACACACTGCATATATTCCTTAACAACTACAAACTCAATCAGTTAAACAAACATTCATTTGGATGGCGCATTGCAGTAATCATATGTACACACGCACCAGAAAATGCTGTAAAATTAATTATGCACACATGCACTGTGTATGGCTCATTATGTGAGAAATTTAGCTGAAAATAGCTCGTGAAGTGCCCTGAGATGTTATTAAAATAAAGCGAAAACCCTTGTAAGTGTACGCGTTGGTGTTGTTATAATGATCTATTGTGTGCCATTAATGCAGCGAAGAATGTGAATTACTCATTAGCAGGAAGGAGCCACAAATATCCATTATATCCAAGTTCATTGGTGGAGGTTATCTTGGGCACTCATAAATGATGCCGGTCTCCCAAATTGGCAATTTAACAGCTCAACTACAGAGGATGCTAATTATATTTTGTCTCTTCCATGGCTAGCACTGCTTGGGCCAAATACAATTTTTAAAAAGGTCGCTGAAAAGTTTTGTTTTTTGTTTTATCAAGTTTAGCCAAGCGCTTAAAACATTGCACTCAAACCATCAAATGCTGCACGCACGATGCCACACTTCAGCCATTAAACCCAGATTCAAAACCAGGCTCTCAGGCAACGTCGTTGGCTCGTTAAACCCTTCACACAGTATTGCCCACTTGGGGGAGTTGACGCTGCCCGTCATCCCTTCCAGGGTCGACAGAATAGTCACCACTTTTTAGGGAAGTCAACAGTGGTTGTCCCGCGGGGTAGTAAGTCTCACACATCGCCACAGGAATGTGGAATGCCGACGACTGGCTCAGGAAACAAGAGATGAGCACCGGCTCAACGCTCGCTTTGAGCAGCAAATCAACTTTTTGACCGTTTGTGTGACCCAACTGACCCGGCCTCCGCCGGCCACCTCCCATGGCGCTCTCCCTCCTCGCGAGCTCCTCCGCCGCGGGGGATAAGCCGGCGGGCGTCTCAGTGGCACGACAAATAAAGAACGACGATTTACCCACTCCCTGCCGTTGGGTGCGTGGATGACTTTCATGTTGTCGTTCCGTCTGCTGTCGCCGGTCGGCCTCTCCGGCGTCGACTGGAAGGGCTTCGCTCGGCCTGCAAATCGACGATCGTTTTCGCCGTTGGGCACAGGAGTCGCGGGTGAGAAGATACAACTCAAGGGCGCGCCCGCAAAACGACGTGGACGCCGATTGTTGCAGAGTTGCGCACGCGGTGTTCATACCATGGCGTCGGAGTTCACCCTCCCACTTCACCTCTGCCCATGACTGACGCTCTCCCGTTCCCCATGCATTGCTCTAATTTGCATTCAGGAGCGCGAAGCGGTTGGCACGGGCCCCATGCGCAGGGAAAGCAGCGGGGTCCCCTGGTAAGCTTCCGGCCCTGGTGCAGTTGCACCGCCTGCACACTCGATAGCTACGCCACTGTTCACATCTTTGCAATGCTGTCTTATATGCCTCCTGGACCTCGAGCCTTTCTACTCTTCAGTCACTTGAAGTACCTCTGACTGTCCCTTTCCCATTTCAAGTCCAGGCTCAGGGGCTCTCTCAGCTCATCTGCCTAAGCCTGTATCTCTCGAACTCTATGAATTTACTTTGCAATGCACTTTTACTGTCCTATTTCCCTTTCCTGCCCGGTCACCCTCTACCTCTTCAGCCTCTCCCCACAAAAGGGAATTCCCGTTGAGTTGTCTTGACACGAGTGTTCTCCGTATTTGTACAGCGCGCCGAGATGCTGCCTCGGTTATCTGCTGGATAAATCCAAATTGAATTGCACCTTTTCAAACATTAAAAGCAATCTAGGCGCCTGCACCTTGCTGAAGACCACTAAGCCGCGCGACGCGTACACGTGTAAATTGTGTTAACGTTTATAACCGCGCATGGCCCGTGTTGTATAATCAATGAAGCTAACTTAAAGCACATTGCCCCTGCAAACGCTAAACAATGCTTCCTTTTGCATTGGACGGGAATAGCGTTGTGCTCCACGTGTCTTTGCCAACTGTGCGTTTCATTCTTGCCGTAACAATGGGTCAGTGGGACACTACGCCAGTCATAAACCGAGTTTATGTTTTTCCATCGTCGCCATTTACAAGGCGCCAGCGGGAATTTTTTTTTCCAGAAAAGGCCCACTGAGCTACAGTGAGGGAAAAAAAATATTTGATCCCCTGCTGATTTTGTACATTTGCCCACTGACAAAGAAATGATGAGTATATAATTTTAATGGTAGAGAAGATCTGCAAAGAGGAGTGGGAAAAAAATCCCTCCTGAGATGTGTGCAAACCTGGTGGCCAACTACAAGAAACGTCTGACCTCTGTGATTGCCAACAAGGGTTTTGCCACCAAGTACTAAGTCATGTTTTGCAGAGGGGTCAAATCCTTATTTCCCTCATTAAAATGCAAATCAATTTACAACATTTTTTACATGCTTTTTTCTGGATTTTGTTGTTGTTATTCTGTCTCTCACTGTTCAAATAAACCTACCATTAAAAATTATAGACTGATCATGTCTTTGTCAGTGAGCAAACGTACAAAATCAACAGAGGATCAAATACTTTTTTTCCCTCACAGTATGTAGCTCTTTGCCCGAAGCGACCTGGCGACAAATGATAGCCCAACGAAGTGGCTTATCACGCGGATATGTACAGCAGCCCAATGCTCGAAGCGCACGTTTCTAAATGTGGAGGCGAAAACCGGAGGGACCCGGATAAAAAACAAATTCACGACACCACGGGGGAATAAAAAAACACGTGCACACTCCAAACATACAGCATGCGTCAGTGTCGTGATCGAACCCACGAGCCTCCTCCACCCCAGGCGAGCGCAGATCACATCTAACACCATGGCGACCAGTCGGCTGTGCGGGATCGAATTTTTGGGCTCTGCGTCTTGGCCTGGTTTCGTATGCTCATTCTGCGTACGTCCTCAGCTTAGTCGCTAACCATGGAATGGGGGGGGGGGGTGGCGGGTGAATGCGTCTGACGACACGAGAGACGCGGCTTCATTCCAATGGGAGCCAGCTTGCCACAGGCGCATTCTGTGGGCAGGCCCAGATGGGGGCGATCGGAAGCTGAAGACATCTTTATCACAAAGTAGTAGTGGACCGAGTGTTAGACATAAAAACACGTATCTATCTATCCGTATTTGTTCGAACAGATAAGTCAGTCGGTGCCCGTAAAACGTTGACGGGGAATACAGCCAAGGCCACACGCGTCAACTTTGACCACGGTGACCCCATCGCGCGCACTGCACCGGGTTCTGCAGGTACAGGGGTCAAATCTTGCCACCCTTCACGTGGGAGGAACGGCGCTGTCAGGAGAGAGGCGCAGACGGGGGATGAGAGACCCTCTCTCCGCCACCGCCTGCCCTCGCTAACTCTGCACGCTCGCCCGCCCCTAACTCCTCAGCGAGCAGCGCTGTCCGCGGGTTCTCCGATGCGTTTACGGGTTGCGCTGCCGCACTGCTCAGCGTGGTGGTGTCCGACGTTCCGCTGCAGGCGCTGGGAGCTTCTCCGAGGAACTGAATTGAGCGATTAAATTCTCTAAGTTCGGTTTCCTGAAGAAGCTTCCCGGCAGTGCCCGGAGTGAAACGTCAGAGGCAGCGTACCGAACAACACACAATACTTGCCGAACGTACATCTGACAGATATTGTTTTGATAGATACATTTAAAAGATGAATAAATGCCTGTAGTTCAGGAGTAATCTTACCGTTGTAGGGACTGCGATTTTCGCCAGAGGTGGGCCTGTAATTCCTGTCATTTGATGTATCAGTGGAGGGATTAGAAGATGTGAGAGGTCTTCCGGCGAAACGACTTCTGGACCCTTGCCATTGCGGTCTGGCTGGCTGCGACGGTGACGATGAAGAAGACGAAGATGATGATGACGACGATAACGAAGATGACGGGTACGAGGGATTTTGCCTGGAGGTCGAAGAGGGAGCGGCGTGGGAGACTGATGTTCCCGTAGTCCTCGAGGCAAACGGAGACAGAGATCTTGAAGGCATCCGAACGGCTGAACTGGATGATGACGATGTAGATGATGATGATGAGATTTGCGGCTCATGTGGTGGTGGCAAATCGTCCCTTTCATTGGCATACAGGCCAGAGGAAGAGTGAGGCCTGGTGGCCCTTTCCCGAGACGATTCTGCCGATGAACCGGAGCGTTGGGACGACAGCGAACCTTTTGGGAACCTTTCGGAACTCGAAGGCGACGACGCCAACCTCGGCGGCTCCGAATCAGTTGATGTCACAGGTGCCAATGAATACGCACTGGAAGAGGATGACGATGATGATGGGGATAACCTTGATGAGGAAGACACACGAGAAGACTGCAAAGCACTGGAAGCGATTCGAACGTTTGCAGCTTCCCCAGGAATTTTGTTTCTTGTATAAGTGGGCGAGTGAGGAGGATTCTGGGCAGAGGGGGAAGACGAAGAGGTTCGCGAATTTGCCGATGGACTTCGCGAGATGCCTGCGTTTGGCTGTCTGTTAAATTTCAACGCTGATGATTCTGATGTCACAGATGCTGATCTTGATGCTGCTGCTGCAGAAGTTGCCGCTGCTGCTGATGTCGAAGGTGGAAATCTTGACGATGATGATGAAGTTCGGGGCAAATGTGATGATGTTGAAACAGAATTAGATGATGATCTTGCTGAAGACAATCTTGAGGATGGTGATAATGATGATGAAGAGGATGACAGAGAATTCTGTGACGGTGATGATGATGCTTCTTGTGAATCTGAAGTTCTTTCCCCGAAAGAAACTGTCTCTGAGAAAGACGGGAAAATATCTCTGTTCAGTGGTGAAGAGGATGCAACAGGGGGTGAATCAGGCTCATCAACAATTTCGTATTCCCTGCTTCCAGCCCTCTTGGGTGAAGAGGGCTGGGGCGGCGTGGATGATGACGAACCGAATTTGTCCTCTGTCGATGAGACTGCAGACGGTTTGTTGTTAGCCGCTGGCTGAGAAGATCTTAGCCACGGTCTGGAAGATGAAGAAGAAGAAGATGAAGACGACGTTTGTCCTGGTCTTGAAACAATTCTTCTCGGATTCGTCGACTGCCCCGGTTGGACAATCCTCCTGCTCTTGCTGACAACTGCTGCTGATGTCTGTGGGGATATGTGTTCTGCCGGCAAACTGCTCACTCCTGTTGATGATGATGATGATGATGACACAGGTGACGATGAAATCCTCGACTCCTGCCTAGAAGACGTCCGTGCATCTGTTAACTCTGGGGCAGCGGGAGACCGCCGCTCACTTGAAGATTCGGCTTCCACGGAAGAGGAGCTGACCGCGCTCACGGCTGCAGACGGAGAGGGCACAAGTTCCCATTAGGGCAACAACAACAACAACAACAAAAAGCGAACGTCTTCGCTGATTCGCAGTTAAATCGCAACGAGCTCGAGAAAACCGGAGCAGTTTGTGCGAAGCGCGCAATTTTGAGTCAGCTGGCCATCCGTGGAGATTAGGGCGAAGCGTTTCGAAGTCGTGAGCCATCACCCATGCCTGCAGGGCACACTGGCGCTGGCGAGCGAAAAGCATTGGGCGGCTGATGATGTCGATACGCATTCGGCCCAGGCGCAGCAATGATTACACAGCTGTGCACCGTGCAACAAACCGGGATGCTGTCATTCAATCAAAAACCGAGCAAGCGCTGTTACGGTTCCTTAGTCTTTGCACTTCATCCGTTTAGTTAGAGACAAAGAGGGGGGGGGGGGGGGGGGGTGGGGGGGGACGTGCGGGTATAGCCATGCGAGCGAGCGCATCGCACGGGCAGGTGAAACCAACTCTTGTCGCGCCCATGCAAGGCCGACGGACGTCGCTGGAATGACGACAGGATGGACGTGATGCTGGTGGTGACCTTTTAAGGGAAGGAAAGTGCAAAGAGTGATGCTGCGGCGCCTTGCGTTCTCCACGATCGTCTCAGACAGAGAGAGAGAGACGCGTAAATGGAAAATGTTATTCCATCGGTCATGCCGGCTTTTTTTCTTCTTTACAAATCCCCCTTGCAGATATATGAGAGAGACGTAAACATTCGTACAGAAAGGAGGGTCATTCGTCGGGGGGAGGGGGGGGTAGGCGCATTGGATAGGACTCGAAGTGAAAGCCGTTGCCGCCTGGCATGCGCGTCGCCCGTCTTCCCATCCGTGTGGTACCATCGGCCGAGGCCCTCCTTACTTGGTGGCAGCACGAGGCTCAGGGGCTTAGACAGCGGGCCCTGGCCACGTCGGTTGGCGGCACGAACGCGGAAAATGTAGCGCTCGCCGGGCGAGAGGCCCCCTATCGTGCCCCGAGTGACGCCGCCCGGGAAAGTGATCACTTTGCCACTGAAGGGCCGGAGTGCCGGCGTGTAGGACACCGTGTACTCTGCGAATGGGGTGGTTGGAGGAGGAGCACACGGGGAATGGGATGGGTGGCAGGGGTTGGGGGATTAGCAGGGGAGGTCGTTTTAGATGGGGGAAAGGTGGGAATGGAATGGGTGTGGAGGTGTGGGGGTGTGGGTGGGGCATGTGTGTTGTTAAGACATTGAAGCGATGTTGGTTTTTAACCGCTGAGCAGTGGCCTCAGCTGGACACAGGAAGCCCCCACATTGCTTCCCAGAGCCGCTCGTGGTAAACCTTTCTATTAACTATTATTCCTGCAACTCAGTAAGGAATTTCACTCAAAAAAATTACCATGCCAAAAATCGTAGCCTTAGTTAAATATAATTAGAAAACAATTCTACCCAGGTATTTATAAAATACATTTCAACACCTTTTACTTTTGAAACTATATTAGCAACGTACGTAGGTTATCAATTGTCTTCCCACGGATCACTGCAGCAGGTGCTTGACAATAGTCTCAGTTCAAATGTGAATAAGTACACACGAAATGATTCGTCGATTCATAGACCAAACGACTGACGACACGTGCGTCGAGCGATACGCGTAATAATCTATTATTTAGAATCGATGCAAATTGTACGCCACCCAGACCCACGGTTACATCCTAACGGCTTTACCAAGAGAGAACGAATGAGTGAGAACAAAACGAAATTGATCACACAAAATTATAGGTTCAATCCAGCTGTGTCAATGAATCATGGCAATTCATTGGATCACAGGCGCGTTGAATCATCGCGTGCCAACATAAATATACATGAGACGCCATTGGATAGCTCTATGTACTTGTTAGTAAAAACTTGAAACACATGAGCCATGGAGGAGGGAGCGATGTTTGAGGATTCGCAAAAGCCACACTTTGGTCACCGCAACCCGTGACATCTGTCGACACGTCCACGCCACCGGACGCGACCAAGAGGCACACAGTTGCAACTGAGCGACGGTGGAGGTACTTCCAGCAGCAGTGGTGTTGGGAAACAATTGCAGGGCTGCACCCTTTTTACCTCTTTTTCTTTTTCATCTTGCTGCATGCGTTGCTCTGCGCTCATACCTGTGACTTGTCCCTGCATTCCCGTGGGTGGAGTCCAGAGCACGGAAACGGAGGAGGGCGTCCCGGGCACCGCGTTGACCTCAAAGTCCTCGGGGGGTGACGTGGGCGCTGCCAAAAGGGAAAACGGCGTGAGCAACGATCGAGCACTGGTGCCAGCGAGAGCAAGAGAGACGTCGTCGATCGATGGAATGACAAGAATCAGAAAATGTATTTATAATGCAAGAGGAATCTGATGAGCTATAAAGACCTTGTTTTCACAGATGTCGAGTCGGGACCGGGGTATGAACGAGACAACGGCAAACAGCACAAAAACACGATAGGAGTGCAAAGTACGAGAAAAGGTAAACAATCACCCAAACACAAATAAAACTAAACCATCCCCATACTACCAGACAAAAGCCCAATGAGGAATTAACTTATTGTTCAAAAGCGACCTGGCTATCAAAAATGATAGCTCAACAAAGCGGCTTATCTTTTTGACATTTATAGCAGCAAAATTATCTGAATCGTCTGAACGCATGTCCTTGCTTGCACGTAACAAACTAAACTTTTTTTTTGTAATGTAAGACGCACTGAGCTGTATAGCTCTTGTTCAGAAGCGATCTGGCTATCACAAATGATCGCTCAACGAAGTGGCTTATCATGTGGAAATGTATAGCAGCCAAATACTCTAAACGCACGTTGTTTCTAAATGTGGATGGAAAAACCGGAGGACCCGAGGTAAAAATCCATGCGACTGCATGGAGAGAGACACGCAAACTTCAAATATACAGCAGGCGCCAGGGTCGAGATTGAACCCACGACCTTCTGCATCCCAGGCGAGGTAGTTAACATCTCGCTAACCGCGGCACCTGGGGTCACAAATGAGGATCTGGGGTTCAGACCTCGAGTTGGAGGAGATGGCTCTGTCACAAAGGGCCACGCAGAGTGGGGAGGGGAGGGAGGGTGGCAGGTAAATGGGACAACTTTTGCCCCAGCCCTCACACAAAAAGACGGCCTCACAATGGGCCTGTTTAGTTTTTTTGTCGATTGTAAACAAGGAGACCGTATGTGACACTCTGCCCCGGGCCTCCTTGAATTGGGCCTCCATCCTTGGGTCCCCCAGAAACCCCGTGGGCAGCCCTACTGCCGATAGGTGATAAGCAGTGGTACGGAATTCAATTTTCAATGGCATGGAACTTATGACAGCCATGCGCCTATCTTTCTGTCACAAGAATGAGCGAAAACCTCATCCAACAAAATGGATAATTTCATTGCGCTGCTCTCCATATCGCTTGGACGCACGCAACCTCCCTCAATCCTCCTTCGGAGTTATCTCAATGACGTTGAAGGGCAACTGCCTAAAAAAAATATCACTCTGCGTGGCACTTTAGCTAATGCCTTGTCGTTAGTTATAACTCGAGGCGATGCATTATCTCCCAAAGCATCGGAGTGATTTGTGGCTGAGTAACTGCGCAGTGCAAGGCAACCAGGAGGCGCAACCGTCCTGAATTATTGCGACGGAAGACGACAAGAGGCGGAATTCTCTTGCAGGTGCCAGGCAAGCGGCCCCGTCTTTTCGCGTTAATTAAAGAGACAATCTACATTCCGTGACCTTGCAGTGCTGCCAGGCCGACAAATTAGTCTTTCGGGGGACGGCGACAAGGCTGATTAAGTGCCCCTTGTGTACGCTAACTGTTGCTACTGGCACTTGGCCTGTTTAATGCGTTAACCCGGTGTATCAAAATTACTAGATTTGTTTTTTAAACCAGTAATTATGCTGAATATTGAGTCAAATTGATGAGCTGTGGCCGGGTGATTTAAGGTTTGCTGTGCGGTGGGGTAAAATGTGGGTACACCTTGCCACTTCCAGCATGCCTTATCCAGTATGGGGGATCAAGATAAATTAATGTTTGAGGGGTCGCAACATTCGTCTACATCTGAGCAGTGCTGGGCCCTCTCAGCATTAATGAACCTTATGGCGGGACCCCGGGGTCCCATAAACCCCCGGCTCTCGCATAAACATTATATTATAATGTAAACATTATATTACATAGTATATATAATGTAAACATTATATTATAATGTAAACAAAAGCTTAGCTCTTTTTCACCAATGGATTTGAAGGATGATGGCAAGTGTTGTCTTGTTAAGCTATGCCTTTAAAACTGAAAACTACTTACCCGCAGTACCTCTATTTAAATACATTTTCTAAAAAATAATTTACACCCCTCTGTCAATCATCGTGTTTCTCAGTGTGGATTTGTGAACACACTTTGGAAACAGCACGTAAAATAGTACGCGTTTTCAATGCGCTGTTCATATTGTAACAAGCGTTTATGCACGTACCAATTTTACTCTACAGAGTAGTGGGTCGTCGCTCCTCTTGTCCGCATTGATACGAGCGGTATGTGAGGACTATAGCTTAACCGCAAGATACTATCTGCACAGATGTATACGGACAAGAGAAGTATTATCAAACAGGAGGAATTAACGGTGCAACGCATCTCATCTGTTAAATATCTGCAGGTAATAGGATTGTCATCGCTTGATCCTGGCTGCAGACATCGGTCGGTCACAAATAATAATGAAGTTAAGAGAGCAGTTTCACTCTATTATATATACCGTTATGACAAATAAAGGACTTAAGTCGTGTAGGCAGTTTTAACAGCTTTGGATAAGACTTATGGTCCTGCCCACACCCGAGCATGGAGTGCATTCGCTTGTTCAGCTCTTCTGCGCATTCGTCCTCGTCACTGCGCTTGAACGACACATGACCACAGAAAGATCCGTGCCAGGTGGGTCACGGCGTTTACGTGTGCGGTGGGACGGAGTCGTAATAAATAAATAAATGGACATTTTTATTACCCTTTTTTACTTCCGCCATGAGGTTCAATTGTGATTAGCGAGGCATTGCTCCTGCACTCGGTGATTCTGACCACCACATTCCCATGCCCAGCGGAATAGAGGGCCGGCCCGTTTGACAAACCGAGCAAACGAGCGTGGCCTGGCTCAGGAATCTCTCCGTGAATGATGTTTATTGGCCGTCGATGGGAATCAAACTTAAGGCTGCCGCGTTAATACCGCAGTGTGCTAATTATTTGCGTGACCAAGAGAGGCGGATCTAGGAATTTCACATGGCGGGGGGGGGGGGGGGGGGGGGTGGTGGAGAGTGGGGTGGGGGAAGGGGCAAAACAGTCCAAAAATTTCAAGCTTTTTAAAATATGGCACTACGTAAGTAATAATAACTTATTATTATGAATATGAATAACACTTAAATTGCCGCCACTCCATCTTCGTAGTGTAAACCACCTCCTTCCTGAGAGACGTCGACAAGCATCGACTTCCTTTCACCGAGCTCTGCCCACGAAAACAGCTGAAGCACTCTGCACGAGATTCTCCAGGTCCCCCATGCCATTGTTCAAACCTTGGGGGAGCAGTCTTCCACAAACACCGCCCGCCACGGATCGGGTGCCCAACCCCAAAGGCCGACGTGGGAACACAGCATCGGAGGGGGGGGGGGGGAGTGGCCGGGGGGGGGGGGGCAGGTGGGCTGTTGGTGGGGGGGGGGGGATGGGGGGGGGGGCTCACGTGACTCTGGCGTGCGCTGGAAGTGCGGGCTGCTCCAGCGGCCGTCCCGCTCGCCCTGCGACGTGCGCACGCCGAACTCGTAGGTGGTGCCGGCCTCCAGATTATCCACGGTGGCGCGGAGCTGCGACGCCGTCTGGTACTCGAACGCGCTGCTCTCGCCCCTCTCGCGGTAGCGCACCGTGTAGTACCTGTGGCGGGCACGGCGGGTGGGTCGGGGTAGGGGGTGGAGGTGAAAGGTCGCAAGAGTGGCGAGCGACGGCACAGGCAGCGTTTGCCACAACGCCTTGCCGAGAGCGTTAAGGACCATCGACTACCACGCGGACTCCGGGCATCATCGCAGCCGCTTTCGGCTGGCCAAAGACGCATCGCGCGGCGCTTTCAGATGCGCTGCTTCCACGGCCGTCTGGAACGCTCTTCCTTCCGATATTGGGAAGCCACTGGAGCCATGCACTTTTGAATCATCGAGATTGACAAACTCAATTCTTTCGATCTGCTTTTTGTGTTTAGTTTGTTGTCCTTCACCTGCACCTCCAATTCGCGTGGTTGGCTACTTAGGGCGCAAATGAAGCTCAACATGCAAACATACAAACAGGCTGGACATCTCTCATGTGAAGAGCCCGAGCACAGCCTATGAAAGTAAGCAAAGTAGAATTGGCTCTGTCCCCATACGCATTCCTCTTGTATACATCATACGTAAAGCCCTCTGCACATGTACCGTCCTTTGCCAATCCACACTGGAGGTTGTTTCACCATACCTCGCGGCGAAGGTGAGTAGGGGTTGGTGAAGGCGTGGGGGGGGGGGCACAGAAGCACAGTATAACAAGGGATTTTCCCACACGGGCCCTCTGCCCTGTCATCTTTAAATAGGAGCTGTCTTGCTGTGAGCAAGCTCTTCAGCAGACAGCATTTACTGATGGCAACCTCTGCCTGTGACGAAATCATCCAGCGTTTGCGCGATCTCATCAGATCATAAAACCTAAGCCTAATCATATTGAGCCTGGACAGTTGCAGTATGGTCAGTCACCAATCACAAACGGTTTTTCACAGAGCTTTCGGCGTTAAGTTGTGGGCGGCGTAGTACATTGTTTTTACTGTACTTCTATGCTGCCACACGTGTGCCCCCCGGCTAGGCTGACCAGCAGGGTGAAGCATCGCCACCCATACGGCATGACGGTGGGACCTCATCCAGCAGTGGATCGACGATAAGGGTCTGTCGGCGTACAAGACAACCCTCTGTGCTCCTGTGCCACAGCGGCCGGTCCGGCGATGGCACACGACGAGGTGCAGGGCTCGTCACGTTAGGTGGCCCCTGAGCAGACTGTGAGGAATGTTACGAGGCCCAAGTCCGTCCGGAGAGATTTGTGTGACTGGTTGCATTAGTCTGCGCATTTTCACGGCCCGGGAAAGAACGGGCGGCCAAATTAAACCAGCGCGTGACTGCTGCTCCAGTTGTATGTATTGTTTACAAACGAGCCCGAGCTGGTCGCAATTACTGTTTCACTCGCGCTGCCTCTACTAATGAGTCCCCTCAAGTCAGCTGACCCGTTAACAACGATGTGAACCTGGCGTGGGCATCGAGCGATGGTGTGGCTGAAGGTTAATGGGCACCCGGGGTGTGCATATATACATAATTGGCGGTTGTCACCTTTGCGTTTGTAAATCATCCAATTTCAATTAACATCACCTGGCACGAAACGGAAAACGTGGCCGCTTTCGGTTTACTCCAAGAGCCACAGCAGACTGCGGCACAAGCACGGGCAATGTTGAAGAAGCGGTGCAAGTAAAATGTTCGCTGGAGCTTCACATAAACGCAGTGCGTGCATGTGCACGCGCGTGTGCAGTGGATGGCACAGATCCCCACTTTGCTATGAGGACTTTCGGGGCAATTTGGGTATCACCGAGGATCTATTAACTCGAGCGTGGCACAATTGGGAGCGGTTGTGTCATCACCGCAACGTGGTCGCATTTGTTCCTGCAGTGCAATTGTTGACCACAATTCAAAAAGTACTCATTATAGGCTGAATCGACCTAGGGGTGGCCCGGGCCACATTCACGTACTAATTACAAGGATTGTAAGCCAGGGCTCAATTTCGAATGGAATATTTTCCATATCCCTCAACAATCCCCCATACCCCCCCCCACCCTTTACTCCGCACCCACCCGCGCAGACCCCACCCCCTCCCTTACACAGAGCAGGGAAATAGTTTCCAGAGCTCAGCCCCGGAAAAGTTCCGGTTGAAATTAAGCCACGAATTGTCATGATCCACACCCCTCGATGAGTTCGATGAATGTGTGTATGTTGAACTTTTTTCGCACCGTACGTAGTCAACCGTGCTAATCGGAGGTGTGGTGTATGCATTATGTTGAACTTCTTTCACACCGTACGTAGCCAACCGTGCTCATCGGAGGTGCGGGAAATTGCCACAATTCAGTTTTTTGCTCAGCGTCACTAAACACGATGTAGAAGGTGAACAACGAAACTTCTGCTGTGCAGCCAGCAGAACCCAAGGCAGTTAGTTACCTGGTGCTCCCACTGCCGGGCCTGTAGCCCTTGTCGTAGGAAGGGTCCTTCCAGGTGATGAGCACGGACTTCGGCGAGAGGACCCTGGCGCTCACGTCCACAGGCTCATACAGACGGTTCACCTCTGCCGTGTACAGACATGGAAAGTCAACACGTTCGTCAATAACTCCGTGGCCTTGAACTAGTTCCCGTTCCGAGACGTCTGCAAGGTGCAGGGTTCGGTGTCCCGTTCACCGCTGATTCTCGGAGCACGCGCAAGCGGCTTCGCATTAGTTTTATCGAGAGAGGTGTAGCGCCGCTGTTTTTAAAGACATTGGACTCACTGACAAAAACTGTTGCGACACGACTAGCGCCAAACTGGCACACGTCCTCCCGTATGGCATTTGACTACCGATTCCGTTCCGATGACGTACATGCATGTACACATACGTCATCGGAATGGCAAAAGGTTAAAAAGAAACAATATATAATAGGTGATGTTTCAGGAAATGGCCCTTCTTCATAGCACATAAAGAGCTCAGAGAGAAAGAGAGTTAATAAATTGTCACGTGAATAGTTACCAATTAATAGATAGAGTAACATACACACCACTTAAACTCGTTATATTCACAAAAGCAAACTTATAAAAAGTTGTGCTACTACATAGAGTCAATTGTATTAAAAGTTAAAATTATAAAATATCGACTTCATCTTATAACCAAGAAATTAATGAAAAGACAGGGATGGTCAGGGGGCAAATTGGACACGAGACCTCCATTTCATTTGTGGCGGAGGGCCTATGCCAACACGCCACACGACTGATCCAAGATGTGAAATTGACATTCACGCCAACGTGAGAAATTATTCCCATGAATCGGGGCAGGTTTTTCTCTCCTCGGAGTTATTCTACTAGTCATAGTCAAATTTGCACAAGAGGAGCTGTAATGTTTTTTGGTCACTTGGCCCCTGGCTGGTGCTGAGAGGCAGAAACCCACGAAGATCTGTGCACTCGTTTCATTGCCACGAGTTCAAGGGGTTCACGTTGACTGACCTGGGCGTTAGCCTGCCAGCATTGGGTGTGACGATCGCTACGTAGAATCCCAATTTGAGTGAATTTGCGGTGCAATCTTCGAATTCGGCAAATGGCCTTCGCTTGCCAATTGATCTTCAAACGACGACCGCTTTGACGCGGACGGCGCCGTCCGTAGTTGCCGACGTGGCCTTTGCGCCCCGCAGTAATAATCAGGGGGCGGCTGCTGAATTCTAACCGCGAAGCTCTGCAACGAGTGGCGAAAGCCGCCGCCGCTGCTGTACCGCGTCGCGTCACGTGGGCGCGCGCGTGACGCTCGCGCGCGTGTCGCACCTGACACCACCCGCCTGGTCTGTGCTGCCCTGTACACGGGCAGGCTCCGTCCGAGGGCGTTGGCGGATTGCAGAGACAGCAGGTAGACAGACTCGGGCGCTGTGCACGGAGAGAAAGACAGGGAACTCCCGCGTAGCCTTTTCAGACAGTTGGGCAGGCACGGTTTGCGCAATCTTTTTATTTTATTTTACCAGTAAGTAAGGCCCACTGAGCTGTCTAGCTGTTTTGCAGAATCGACCTGGCTATCACAAATTATTACTTGGCGATGTGGCTTCTCACGTGGAAAGTTTATCGCGGAACAAATACTCCGAACGCATGTTCATTCTTAATGTGGCGGGGGGGGGGGGGAAACCGGAGTACCCGGAGAAATATCCGCGCGACCACGGGGAGAAGGTCAAAACTCAAAATATACCGGCGTCAGGGTCAGGGTCAGGATCGAACTCGCGGCCTCCTGCATACCAGGCGAGGTAGTCACCGTCTCAGCACGGTGGAGCCACAATGTTCCATGCCGCACGCTGCTACCTGCCTTGTTAATGGTGTAACCATTAAACGGTGTAACCATTTACACACTGCTGGGTAGACAGAGGTAGTTGGGGGCGATGATTTAAAGAAGCCTGCACCATTGTTTTAATTGCCGCGCCGGGAGATAAAATCTGCGGTGCCCTGCTAAGGTGGGCAGGGGCGTGCGAGGAGTTGGTGTGGCGATTGCCAATCGCAAAGCCACCCTCGGTCTCGACCCAGAGCCACTCGAATGCGTTAAGTAGTATGTGATGTATTTTATTTGCACTAGAACACAGTGACGTAGTCGACAATGCGTCTATCAAATGCATTGGACGTCCACTTAGGAGATGGAACGATGACATCGGTTCAGGCGCCGGTGCTCGATGGATTGTGTGAGGCCTTCATCCAGCAGTGGTCTGATCATGGCTGATGATGAATCTGTATTAAATGCATAAGCATACTTTAATTTATACGATGTGTATATGAAATAGAATAAAATATTGTTTTGCGGTACAGTATATTATTTTCCGTGCATGTGAGCACCTCAAATCACTTTAAACACTGCCCAGAACTGATATTTACACACCGTACCAGTCACTCCATTAGAGCTACGTTAACCTAAGGGGAGGCCCATGATATGTTCAGATGTCACTTGCCACTGATATTAGCTGGGGCCACGAATCAAACTCGTATCGCCTACTTCAAAGTGCAGTGTGCTAACTAGTGCGCCACCACTCCCCCATCAAGCTGTGCAAACAAAATTGTTGAACCTGGTGGCGAGAGATATCCCAACTGGTCCTTGAACCACCCCCTTTGCCAACCCCACATCTGACTAGAGAGGTGAAATATAGTCAAATTGTCCCGACTAAAAGATATGGTGTGTGGAGATCTCAATCAGGCAGATAATTGACACGGGATTGAGAATCCAACGATTCGTCATCGACACTCAAACCGTCGTACTGTCCATGCGAAACATTGAGGGCATTGGGCCGCAGGAGTTACAACCTTAAAGGCTGACCTCAGGCCAGCAAAGGTTAAACAATATCGGGGGGGGTGAGGGTGGTGGGTGAGTGGGTGGGTGGGGCATTTATGGTGGCAGCGACATTCATGGCCAGTTGTACCCCGGCCGACCCGTTATTTCTTTGTTTTAAACGCCAACATTATCTGTGTGACAAACGGCACAGCGGGTGCGCCATCCCTTCCCCCCCCCCCCCGACGGCCGCGCGGCTAAAACCAAAAGGCATCTGCCACGTCCGCGTCCGTCAATCAACGATCTTGGAGACGTCCTCCCCCCCCCCCCCCCCGTTGGGTTCCGCGTTCTACCGCGGTTCTTATCGGCCGCGGCGGCGAGCGCTGACGGCGCTGAGCGCGATAGCCCTGCGCGTGGACGAGCTCTCACTCGCGCGGCACGCCTTGGAGAATGCGACGGACGTTGCTGGCGTGTTACCGGCGGAAGACGCGATGGGCGCCGCTGCCGAGTGGATTTACGACGGGCGAGATATGACGGGCGATTTAAATGTTCTCGCCGCGTGCTCTGCGGGTGAGAGTTGGTGGGTCGCCTGTTCATTTTTTGTGAGACCCCCCCCCAAATCCACCAGGCTGTGAGGCGGGGTGGCTGGTAGGCTAGCAGTACAGCAAACAAAAAATACTTGTGAAGCCACTTTTTCCAAGATCTGTTACGTTCTGTAATGTGTGTGTTTTGTCAATGGGAATTCTAGTTTTCACCCACATGCAAAACAGGACAATCCACCCAACAAAAGTCCAAAAAAGTCCTAGAATAATAACTGCATCATTATTGTTATGGTTGTATTTTGGGTATTTAGAATGCAACCGGATCGAGTTTTTGGCATTGTGGTTAGTGCACTACGTGATGAACCTGTTGATGGGACTTAGCATTCCCAGTCATCATCATTATTACCAGCCATGATCAATCCACTGCTGTATGAAGGCCTCCCCAAGCCTTCGCCTTCTTTCATAGGCCTGTGATGTAACGACACCACTTAAACAACCCGCACTCACCGGCGTGGTGAAGTATGGCCAGAAAACCCCACATTACTGATGGTACGGGGAGGCCTTCGTCCAGCAATGGATTGCATGAGCGACTCTATCATCATTATTATCCATTAGCTTTGTGGACTATTATAATCTCAAGAACCTTTTTCCGCGCGGTCGACTGAGTTAAATGGGGTCACGGGCTCCCAGCTGACAGCCCATTTCACAGCCTCCCACCTCCTTCGCTAAGCCTTGACGTGCGCATTCGGTGCGATGTCTCCGTCTCAATTAACGTTGGTCCCTCGAACGAAACGTTAAATCGCCCCGCTCGTCCCACCCCTTCTTTGTTGTTGCAAAGACGCCCAAAGGGCACGCGAGAAAGTCCACCCCGTCCGGCAGCCCGCCTCCACAGAGTCAACGTCCCTCCCAGCTCGGACGCGCTCGCTCGCGCACGCAAACATCCCCGCGTCGGTGATCACTCGCGCTAACGAGCGCATTCCCGTCTTTGACAAAGCACTGCAATTAGGCCAAATAACGAAGCGCGCGTCTGTGTCTCGTGATAATGAGCGTGTCTGCGCCGGGTTTCGGGCCGTGCCTAGATGCGTCGTTAGAGAGGGCACTTTGTGCCTTTCAAGCGTCGCAGCTCGTACCGAGTGGCTGGTTGTATGTACGCACGTATGTTGCACTTCTTTCGCGCCGTACGTAGCCAACCGTGCTTCTCGGAGGTGCGTACCGAGGACATCGAGATACTGCAGCTACAGTTTTGCGGTGTCTAGCCCAACCACGTGAAGCTCATTGCCGGTCAGCTGTCTTGTGCTTTGTCACCATCAGCCAGTCCTGCATTGGATTCGAGACTGAAAGTATATATTTGTTTTCGCTCGAGGTTACGTACCGAGCTTTTGTCAAATTTTAAAAAAGAAAGGAAAAGACTGAAAAGATCCCTTTAAAGCATTGACGTAACAGTGCCTTCGTGATAGCCTGTTTACTGTCAGAGCACAGATTGCGTGAATATCACACGTGGGTTGAAAGTGCTGATAACAATAAAAACAAACGAACTGTGCCACCGAGAAACGAACAGCACGGCTCTGGGTCCCTGCTTCCCATTGGCTTGCGGGGACGCAGCAGCAGCGGCAGCAGTGGCAGCAGCGAGGAGGGAAATCCGCACGTTTAGAAACGTCGTGTTTCTGGAGCAGTGGTTCTTAACCTGGGGGTGCGAGATGCCCTATCTGGGGGTTGCGAGACATGGCCGTATTTTTTTTTTAAAGATAAATCATCGAACACACAAATTTAGCTTGGGGCACGTAAGTGCAAATACTTTGTTTCATAAAACATGATATACTTATTAACATTAGACATTATGTGTTTACGATTGAGGCTGCAGTAAAGTTCAAGAACCACTGGTTTAGAGTATTTGGCCGCTATATATTTCCACGTGATAAGCCACTTCGCTGGACTATCATTTGTGATCGCCCAGGTCGCTTCTGAAAAAAGAGCTGGACAGCTCAATGGGTCTTACCTGGTACAAATAAACTAAAAAAAGTAAAATTTCGACTTAAAACTTTCGTGACTGGAAGAATTCCTATTCTTGGTTCTTTCGGTAAAGTCACGTAGATAGATAGAAACGTCGTGTTTTTTTTGCTTTAATTGTTCATTTTTATTTATTTTTATTTTAACAATTTTTTATGCTTCCTTTCTATCTACGTGACTTTACCGAAAGAACCAAGAATATAAAAAAACTAAAGTAAATATATTTTTTTTGGTCGTACCCAGAGACTGGATGCTGTGCGAGCGCGCTCCCTGGGGCAGGTGCACGTAGTCGAGCCGCTTGCCGGCCTCGCCGTAGCCCAGCACGTAGCCCCGCACGCGGCCCCGAGAGCCCCCCTCGGCGGCGGCGGCGGCCCCCGTGCCGTGCGGCGGTCGCCACTGGAGCGCAACGGAGTCACCGCTTGTGCGCACCCGCACGCGGCCGGGCCTGGCCGGCGTGCGGGTCTCTGCGCTCACCCGCGCAACACACACACACACAACGTGCGCGCACAATGCAGAGACGAAGAATGTGCGCGTGTGTGTGTGTAAGCCTACGTGTGGGGCATGCGCTGTCAGCGAGCGGCTTTCGAGGGGTGGCCAACGGCACCACGCGCGGACCGCTTTTGTCTCCCCGGTGGCGATGTTTACACACTGCACCGGGAGCTCATTTGAGGCTGAGTCGACCTACGGGAGACCCACGACCGGTTCAGATAATCGTCACCGGTGTTGGTCGTGAGCGGGAATAGAACTCGGGTCGCCGGGTTCGTAGCGCAGCGCGCTAATCACTCCACACCCACTCCAAAGACAAAGATCTCCCATATAGCCTTAACAGGCTGTTGGGGCAAGTGCTGTTAGCGATAACCTATGAAGGCCAGCACGGCAGACGAGGGGTTTGGTGGCCAGCACCACGCCCGGCCGCCTTTGTCTCCCCAGTGTCGCACGTTTACACACTGCACCGGGTACTCATTTGAGGCTGAGTCGACCTAGGGGAGACCCAGGACCGGTTCAGATAATCGTCACCGGTGCCGGCCGTGAGCGGAAATAGAACTCGGGTCGCTGGGTTCGTAGTGCAGCTCGCTAACCGCTGCACTCCCAGATCCATACACACACACATGCATACATACGCACCATCACGCATGAACACATTGACAGGCAAATGAGCACACAGTCCCGCAAGCGAACAGTGACAGGGATCCGCTTATTAGGCTGGTTGCACCGTTGGGATGAGTGATGTTAGCGAGCATTCACTCTGACAAGTAACTGCCACAATACACAGATACTGAGTAGATGCACACTGACACACAAAGACAAATATCCCCTAAATATCCTTTAACAAATGGTCGGGGCAAGTGCTTTCTGGTCGCGAGCACCAGTAAAGTCGAGCATGGCACACGAGGGCGTCTCTCCCCCGTGTTGATGTTCACACCGCACACCAGGTATGCGTTTAAGGCTGAGTCGACCTAGAGGATGCCCATGATCAGTTCAAATAGTCGCCGCTGTTTTTGGTCGTGAGCGGCAATCGAAGCTGGGGTCGCCGTGCTCGTAGCGAAGTGCTCCCAAACCGCTGCACCGCCACTCCCCGTAATGTCAAACACGCGTACAGAGACACACAGCAGGCGGACAATTCCCATGCACACGTAGGCAGTGTGCAAGCCGTGACCAAAGCCCCCACGCTGCCCTTCACTAATCCAGTTGCGACCGCGTCTCGAGACTCTGTACGGCAACCGTGTGGGCGCGTGTGTTTTATATACAGGGGTGCTTCAAAAATGTTTTAACACTTCTAAGAATTTGCAACAACACCACGAGAAATGCGCGTGTGCTTCCGAGCTCTGGAGACCACTTGGAGAAGATTCCAGGCCACGTGTTGACAATGATAGCGAACAAGTGGGAGACTCTTTGACTTTTTGAAGCTATTAACATGACACTTGTTATCTTATTACAGTGTATTAACCGTTCTATTTTTCCATTAGAACGTTAGTCCCATGTAAGTGTTAACATTTTTTTAAGCACCCTGTGTATGTAGAGAGAGAAAGGGACAGTCCACTCAGGCAGGGAGACGACACCACGGGTGGCTGGGGGAAAAGAGTTCCGGACTCTAACCAAGTTATATGAGCAACAGATAAAAGTGACATAATCCTAATCCTGTCTCGATTCATCATACGTTTGAAAAAGAAATATGCAGCTGTTCACAGCTTGAAAACGCAAGGGGGGAAGTCTAAGGTTGTTCATGAAATCATCACCGGACCATCCAGCAGTCGATCATTCCCGGCGAAAGGCTCTGCCCTTATAGGGGTAATAGCCTCTCGTCCCCGCCCCCCCCCCCCCCCAATAACGTCACATCTCAGAAGCTAAGCAGGGTTGATCCTGGGCAGTGCATGGATGGGCGGTCGCCGTGTATGAAAGAGGCGAGGTGGAGTGCGGATTGAAGAGGGGAGGACCCACCTGTCACGGAGCCGTTCAGCGATCCGGAGCTCATGGACGCGTGTCCCTGCGGGTTAACCCATCCGCCGCCTGCAGAGTACACAACGCATGTGTATATATATATGTACGTACGTAAGCAACTTCTTTTGCATCGTACGTAGCCAACCGTGCTGATCGTACGCAGCCAACCCCGAGCAACCCGACGATGCCCTCCGCTTTGTGTACAGATGGCAATGGCAGGAGGTGGCCCATTTCAAGTGCGGGGAAAAGATTTGGTCTCATTCTTTTTATTTTATTAGATTTTCTGCCCAGAGTCAGATCGGGGGTTACACGCGAGCTGCGATGCACGTGGGCCACATGTTGCAACCCCCACCACGGCGCGACAGCTCCGCTGAATGAGATGTCTATCCGTTTGTCAATTGGGTTCAGCGGAGGTGAGATGATGTTGAGCAGTTTGCGCACACTCATCCAATAAGCCCAAATAATAATGTGGAAAAGGGAAACCTAAAGGCGCAATCGTGCAATTGTCTTGCTCACACCACCGCTGCCAGATGGACCTCCACAAATCTCGCGTGAATATTACTACGTAAATATTAAATTTTGATTTAAAGCTTGCGTGACTGCAGGGATTCATATTCTTGGTTCTTTCGGTAAAGCCACGTAGAAGGGAAACAATAACAAAAAAATGTCCTACTCACTGTTTTATATTTTTCTTATTTTATTGTTTCCCTTCTACGTGACGTTTCCTTCTACGTATTTACCGAAAGAACCAAGAATACGTAAATATTATTTCTAAAGCGCACGAAAGCAATTTTCAACATTTTAAAGCTGTTTGCACGAAATGGCATTTGTCCAGTGACTCTTGTGGACGGGATCTATAGAGCTGTTCGCACATCCAACCATGTCACATATCTACCACAGTCCTCAGCGAGTAGGACATGCAGCGTGATACAGAATTAAGTTCCCTGCGCTGTGGATATGCTCCCTCATGCCAGTGCCAAAGACCACTACAGAGACATTACGCAAACAACCCACATAGCAATGCGTAGCCACGTGCGACATATCCCAGCCAATACGAAACGATGCAGCACACTTAAGTGTATCGGTGAAGGGCGGCCGTGGTGGTTGGGTGGAGGTGAAATGAAAAGGGGCCTCTGAAGCCAGTATGTCAAACTGGTGGAAGCAACCGAGAGGGAAAATCCAGCAGTGGAGGCGCCTTGCCGCAGTTGGAACGTTGCCAGGTGATCTCACGGGGTCAGCGAGAAACGACGGCGTTCTTATTTTCACGCGCGTTGGGGTGATTGATAGGTTTTATGTTTCAGAAAACAGACTCACTCTTTCAGCTGGCGCATGCTTCGGTGCAGAGAGTCAAAGTCAAGCGAAGAGGCGGAGGGAGAGAAACGAAAAAGGGCAGCAGAGGTGGAAAGGGGAGAGCAATTGAGGCCAACGGGAGATTTGGTTGGCAAACAAAACAAAAAAAAACGAGGTCGTGGAGTGGAAAAGTTTGAAGACCACTGACTTAAGCGGAGTGGTGAAAACCAATCGGGCCACCCGACGCCCTGCGTGTGCCTCTGGTGGCCAAAAACCTCTCCGACTCGGGCAGGCGGAGAGGGGGGCCACCGAAAGCAAGCGCCGCGCCCTCCCCAGACGCTCCACGCGTTCCGTGCCAGCGACTGAGCTGCAGCTGCTGGAATGTTTACGCCGATGGGGAAAGAATCACTCGGGGGAGGGGGGCGGGGGGGGTGAGCGTGGAAAAAAACTCGCCGGCAATGTTTAACATATTTAATACTCTCTGTGTGTGTGTGTAGGAATACGCATACATTTCAGTGAAGAGTTAAGGTGCTCGCCAAGTTTATTTTTTTAGTTGCTTTTTTTGTGTATTCAGAAGAGTTGAATTATTAAGCCTCCCCCCCGCCCCTTTGTCAGTCCCTGACTTGAGTGGGTACGCAATACAGTAGTTTCTGTGTGTGTGTTTTTTATTCTTCCTCCAGTGGTGGTGTGTGCCTTGGCTCTTGCTCGGCACACGTGGAACATTGCCCGACTGCACCCCCCCCAATCCCACCCCAACTTGGGCAATGCGCTCTACTCCACCACCACTCCTCCTCTCTGCGAGCCTTCATCTCGCTCGCCGCTCCTGCTGCTACCGCGACCGGCAACCCCCCCCCCCCTTTTAATTTGCGCGATTGTCTCCCCCCCTCGCCTGCCCCCCCCAGAGAGGACTTCGGAGTGCGAGAAGGAGCGTGATCATGAAAGCACGCGGCGAGTTGTAACTTAATCGCGCAGGTTACGGGGGCTGCAGCGGGTTCCTTTCCCACAATTAGCTCGCTGCGTGCCTGTCTTTCAGCCCAAACGCCGAGCACATGGGCAGGAAACGGGCAACAATGCGGGTGTTGCCGTTAACTCCGGTCACTCTCCTGTTACGAACGCGTATTCTTCGGCGGTCCACTGCAAGGAGGGTGGGAGGAGGAGGAGGGGGGTGGCGGTGCCGTGTGCCACCGGGGTTAGTCCAGGACAACGGCTTCAAATAGACAAACTAATCCGCCACGATCAAAGGCTGACGCTTCATTTCATTTCTTTTATGCCAAATAACGACGTAATCCTACCGGCTGTATTTTTCTTTTCTGTTTTCAACTTACGCGGGCCGAGCGGACGCGTCGTGATGCGCTGCGCCGTGCAAAATCCGCGTTCGCGTTAAACCCCTTGGAAGCGTCATGGAGCGGCGAGCGACCGGGGCTCCGAAGCGTCTCTCTCTATCTCTCTCTATAACTCGAGAGAGAGAGTCTCTCTCTCTCTATCTATATATCTATCTCTCTCGAGAGAGATAGATATATAGAGAGAGAGATAGATATAGATAGAGAGGCTCTGAAGCGAGAGAGACAGCGACGCTTGGGAACCCCGGTTCTGCAACAACACGCGAGCGCGCGCGGAGGGCCTTGACGCGCACGCGCGTTGATTTCGTTTAATAAAAATTGCTTTCGCTGTCAAAAAAAAGTCCGATGCTGCGCAAGGGCTTCACGCTTGTGAAGTGCTGATTGCTTCGGTGTCTTTAAGATCGCTCCTCCTGATCGCGCGTCGGCAAGACGCGCCTCCCGTCGGCCTTCGGAGGAGGCGTCATGCCTGGCAACGTACGCTGCAAGACGCTCCTGCCAGCGGCGACATGGAAACGACGTGACTGGGCTTTGTCAATCCATTGTCGGATAATGGCACGTCATGTTGGTAATGGGGGGAGGGGGGTCTTTTGACTATACTTCACCAGCTGATGGGCAGTGGTGGTGGGTTGGTGAAGGGGTGGGGTAGAGGCTCCTAGGACCAGTGCCGATATCGCTCGCCACTGGTGTTAGCCATGGCGAGCGATCGAACTCACTTTGCCTATGCAAATATATTTAACCCCCATACACTTATTTTGTTACAGCAAAGCAGCCCTCCTTTGCACGTCAGTCTATAGACACGGATTACATTTTTACTAAAAACCTGAATATTAAGATCACATCCAAACAGCTGCTTAATTTTCCTGCAGCATAGCGTTACGTTTTCAGTTTGTATCTTTTGTCATAACCCAAACCCTAAGAGGCAACAATTTTCCCACTCAATTCCCCTGTGGAGGGAAGAAATATTCTGGCGGAACAAATATTCGTTTTGACCACGTTCATAGTGAGTGAAGTGCACTAACCGCTGTGCCACCGCTGCACCCAAGCATATGTGTACATGAAGCTGAAATAAAATACAGAGAAATGTGTTCCTGTTTAGCAACAACAAAAAAGGCAATTAAATCAATAAATTAGTCTGTGGATCATGGCGTTGTGGGATGGGTGAAATTATGCCATTTAAGATCCGGTTAATAAAGCTGTGAGCCACTCCTGCTTGGTGATTGTGTCAATTGCAAGCAAATATCTCAACACATTCTTCAATGACACTGCCGTAAAGAGGGTTACACATTCAATCGGCAACTTGTTGGACATCGCCTCGAGCGTTGCCTTTCATATAGTCTCCCTCTATTGGAAAAAGGTTTATTTTTTTCATGAAAACGTCATCCGTTACGTCCTTCATCTCGTCCTATTCTATTCTTGCCTATGATGGCAGCAACTTGTTCAGGAGAGAAATGCCAAAAAAAAACCCTCGAGGTCTGCTCGCGACGACAGAGGGCTTCAGGAGGGAGTTCTACGGGCAGTGTTATTGACGATCGCGAGTTGAGTTTATTTCGTTATTTGTGAGCAACCACTTCCAACGCAGCATCACGAGTGTGGTTCGCTCCCACAGCACACGACACACACGGAGCACCACCACCCCCCCCCCCCCCCCCCCCGTGGCAAAGGACACACTCGGAGGCGACGTTAGCGAGCGTCGACCTGGTGAGCACTCTGCCCGGTACACTGGATGGCCCACGCCGTGCTGATTGGAGGCGCTCACCACCACAAAGTAGACCTCCCCAGGCTCTGCAAAGCATGGGTCGCGAAAGCGCAGCGCGCACGCACGTTACTCCCGGTGGGTAGGGGCGACTTCGTGCCTTCGCGTCGCGTTGTCGCTGCCGTCTACGGACCTAGAATTTGTCCCCGTTTTGGTGAAGGGGTCACGGGGGTCCAGGGGAGGGAAGGCGGCCCTCGGCGAGTTCCCACCCGGCCTGGTTTTCCCCAGGATTGTCCTCTTGTTGTGATCCGGGAAATCTGTTGGGACTTCCCAGGGTTATTAAGGTTTTTTTTTTGGTCGTGTAATAATACACCGCTCAAGGCGATGCATTTAAATGTAGTTATCCCCTCTGCTGGTAATGTGAGATACTCTTCTTCTTTTCGTGATGTATTCCAGTTCTTTTGGAGATCTCAGAGGTGGAAACCCGAACCCCCTCGTGGGAGCTCGCCTGGTCATCTCTTAGATGGTTGCGAGTCAATTAATCTCCCTCCTAGCCCCACATCGTGGCTTTGCAAGAAACGCAGCACCGCTTAAATGTGCAAGCAATAAAGGGCCACACTGTACATTGTTAGATGGAGAAAATGGTAATTTGCAGATTTCATTGCTTACATTCTCGTAAAAATGACAATCGCTTTCCTAATAGTGGAATAAAACTTCCGATGTGAGGCTTTTTGATTTAGAAACTG